AGCAATTCTCCTTTTCACTCTCTCACCCTAGGAGATTATTTGGGATCTATGAGCGTGTGGCAGTCCCTGGCACGAAGAATCGCCTCCTGCCACACTTGCTCTGGAAGACAGCTGTAGTGGGTTGAATGGTGCCCCGCTGAAAAGATCTGTCCAAGTCCTAACCCCAGAACCTGTGTATGGGACCTTATTTGGAAATAGGTCTTTGTAGATGTAATTAAGGTAAGGATCACAAGACGAGATCATCCTGGGTCAGGGTGGACCCTAATTCAAGGACAAGTCTTTCTAAGAGAAGGAGAAACAGGAAGCCATAGAGGGAAGGCCATATGGGGATAGAGGGAGAGACGGGAGTGATACAGCCTTAGCCAAGCTCGCAGGGCCCACGAGAAGCTGGAAGAGATGCGGCGGGCTTCTCCCCAGACCCTCCGGAGGGAGTGCTGCCTGTGGATGCCTCGATTCCAGACTTCTGTCCCAGAACTGTGGGAGGAGGATACATTTCTGCTGTTTTAAGCCACCCAGTTTGTTGGGATTTGCAGCAGCCACAGGAAACGAATATAGGAGCCACTGGAATTTTTTTAGAACAGCAATGAGAGTTACCTTCTGACCCGAAACTCCACCCCGCCTAGCCCCAGGGCTACAGAAGAAAGGGGGAGACTGCATTGATTGGGAACCTATCATTTGCCAGGGGCTTAACAGATGTGACCTCATTTAATCCTCATGACAGGTAGGAACTACTATCCACTCCTTTACAGCTGAGGAAAGGGAATCTCCGAGAAGTGAAATGCTGCCTACCTTCAGGTCACTGAAGGTGGGCGTGGTGATCACAGCGCAAAGTCCTGGTCCAAAGTCAAGGCCTGTACCCTTGACCCCTAGTCCACACTGCCCTTGTCACCAGCCTGGGTCACTTCCTGGCCTTCTGCAGCCTCTTTGGGAACTGCTGTGTCCACAGCCGCTGCTGCCCGCAGGATCCTGGCTTGTCTCATCAGAGCTGACCAGACGAGCGAGGGGACCCTAGCTGAAGGCCACTCAGCTGCAGGCAGGCGAGCCAGGCTGGAACGTGGTCTGAGGGATGCAGCAGTGGCGGCCTGGCTAAGGCCCCGGGAGCACAAGGCCATGTAACTGCAAGGCTGGTGGCTCAGAGGCAGTCCACGGGGACGCAGGAGCCAGACGACACACGCAGAGAAGGGCTCACGCGGCCCAAGAGGAGGAGAGGACCACCTCAGCTCCTGCCCACTGCGCCTCCTGCGTGGGTCCCAGAGCCACTGTCATACCTCTATGCCACCTGCTCTGGCTCCGAGCTGGACTCCCCGCTTCTGGCTACAACACACAAATTCTGGCAACAATATTCCTTTCGTAAAAGAACTTGTCCCTCTCCAGTGTTAGGCAGGTTAGTTTAGGATTCTGTGTGAGGGGCGGTCCTGGAAGGGCCAGAATGACTTCACATCAGCTTCCCTTTCACGTGCCCACAGCCTGAAGGCCAAAGACACTGGGTTTCCATAACACTGATGTTTTTAAATAACCATGTGCCACTCAGACAAGTGTCTTCCTTTACTCAATGGCCACTGCTATGGCCCTATAAAAGCCAGATTTAGAGGCATCTGGAGAAGGCAGCCAGACTGGTAACCCTGCACAGAGTGGGCCTGGTGCAGTGGCTCATGCCTGTAATCCCAGAACTTTGGGAGGCCGAGGCAGGTAGGTTGCTTGGGCCCAGAAGTTTGAGACTGGCCTGGGCAATATGGCAAAACCCCGTCTCTACAAAAGTACAAAACAAAATAGCTGGTTGTGGTGATGCACACCTGTGGTCCCAGCTGCCCGGGAGGCTGAGGTGAAAGGATTGCTTTAGCCTGGGAGGCGGAGGTTGTAGTAAGCTGAGACTGCGCCACTGCATTCCAGCCTAGGCAACAGAGCGAGACCTTGTCTCAAAAAACAAACAAAAACCAACCCCCACCCCCCAACCAACCCTGCACATACATCTAGGCGGACTCAGTGCCTGGGAAAGCCAAGGGGCAGAAGCCTTTGGCAGCAGAGTGAACGCTTTCAGCTTCCTCCGCAGGCTTCTCTGGGGTCAAGGAGGCAGGGCACACCTTCAGAGGTGGGCTCCAGCAGGCTGGCTCTCTCGGCGGGAGATCCGTAAGCTGATACAGACCCCATCCCAGTGTGCCCAAGCCTTTCAGTCTTCCTACGGCTCAGAAAAGACCTGAACTATCGGGGTAAGAAAAGCATGATGGAACTGCAACTGCTGGTCCCCAGGCTGGGGAGCTGCAGCCCCACAGTGTGTAACGGAAGCTCGGGAATAGCCGGGGCGTGGGTGCCAGGGAGCTGGCACCAGGGTCTGAGCAAAGCCCAGCAGAGGCTCCTGGGATGTCCTGCTAATGTCAGCCGAAGCGCCTTGCAAGCAGTTTCAAAAACAATCTCCAGAGGAGATGTGAATTCAGTCCCTGGAACAAAATAATGACAGTTATCACAGCCATGAGTCACCGACGGCTCACAGATGGCACAGACTGGGGCTTTTCATTCAGGTCACTTCTCTGGTTCATGGCAAGGCTGCACAGTGGGTGGTGTTATCCCCATTTCATGGAAGGGGAAACTGCAGCTCTGAGGGGCAAGGAACCTTCCCACCGGCCTCCCAGCTAGTGGGCAGCAGAGCGGGGGCTTGCACTCAGCCGCAGGGTGCTTCAAGGCTCTTGCTCGCTTTAACGCCCTCAGAGGACCTGCACTCACTGGGGCTCGTGCTCTCGACAGTGTGGCTGTTAGGATGACTCCCGTGAGGCAAAGGGTGCCATTCCGACCCCGTGCCCCAAAGACTGGTGAGAACTATGAATGCCGAGGCTGCTGTGCGGCTTTTCTTCTTGAGACAGAGTCTGGTTCTGTGTCCCAGGCTGGAATGAAGTGGCACCATCCCAGCTCACTGCAACCTCTGCCTCCCAAGTTCAAGTGATTCTCCTGCCTCAGCCTCCCGAGTAGCTGGGACTACAGGTGTGCGCCACCATGCATGGCTGATTTTTGTATTTTTAGTAGACCAAGGTTAGCCATGTTGGCCAGGCTGATCTGGAACTCCTGACCTTGTGATCTGCCCACCTCGACCTCCCAAAGTATTGGGATTCCAGGCATGAGCCACTGCACCCGGCCATGTAGCTTCTTCTGAATCACAGTCCAAGTGATTGTGTGTGGTATGGGAGGGGGAGATACACTGAGATGCCCTGGGGCCATATGAGCCTGGAAACCCCTTGGCTGGATCCTGTTGGCTGAAATGTGCCTTGCTTCTGTTCTGTGCCACTGGGACGACTCCTCAGACGCGGCAGCGTGGATGAGGGACTGTGACTTTCCTCGGATTGTGCCTAAGTTCAACAGATAAGTGTTCATCCAGCACCTCCTCACCTTGCTGGGATCAGCAGCAGCAGGAGCCATTCTGGAAGCTTAATCCAAGCCCGATCTCCAGGGTCAGGGGCAGCCCTGTTAAAGTGAAAAGTGAGGAAATGTGGAAGGGGACTAACGGATGTGTATTTGGTGTCAGGTGCTGCACTGGGTGTTTTATATGTAACTGCATTTAATCCTCACACGCCCTGGAGAGGACATCAGGATTCCTGCGTTCCGGGTAAGGAAATGAACACACAGGGAGGCTGTCCTCCACGTGCGGCAGGAAGTGGAGGGATGGGGTGTGCACACGTCTCTGTGGTTCCAGCGCCCACTCTCTGCTTCTTGGAAAATGATACTGAAGGAACCATTTCCACAGTTCTCCAGCTACTCTGGTCAATTTGAAAAGTTTCCAGGAGACAAGCCCGAGACCCAAGAAGCCCTGGATCTGCACATCGGCCGAGCTTGGCGAGAGCTCAGCTGTCCAGCCCCTGTGGCTTTCAGCAGTGCTGGGGCTAAGGAGGCTCTGCTGCTGTCAGAACACAGGGGAGGCCAGCGCTTCTCAAACTCTGCTCCAGCTAAATATTCTTAGGCACTTGCGAGTTCTGTCAGCATATCACATTTCCATTTAAATAATTTAAAAAACCCACTTGTTTTTCCTGGTTATAAAGACGCACTTTCTCTTAGCAGTGATAACTTGTAAGTAAAAGCCAAAATGTCACAGAATGAAGCTTTCGTTTTTAGGTGGGTGTGCCTCACACTGGAGGCTGGCGACGTGTTTTTTGGGGAGGGGTTTGTTTTTTCTTTTAGTTGCATGAATGCTCCTTGTGAGGGCGCCTTCGTGCACGAATTCCTCTTGGTGTTGAGACATCTGACTTCCAGAGAGGGCACAAGCCTCTGGAGGCCTCTTTCCTGACTGGATCCCCACAAGCCGAGTTTGTGCTCTGATCCTCAGGGGGCTTCCCAGGCCAGGGGAGCAGTGAGAAGCCACTGGGACATCGCAGCTGCCAAGGGTCAGGGCAGAGGCACCAAGGTGGGGCAAACACCTGGCAGGTCTGATGCGGGCTCCCGGAGCAGGGCTTTCTGCCAAGGAAACCCGGGCTGGGAAATGCAATGAGAAGGGCTGTGTTTTCTGCGGGGTGACAGCAAGTTGCGATCCTCACTAAGGGAACGAAGCCCGGCACACCCAGAAGTCGCTGTAAAATTTCACTCCTGACACTTATCTGGGTTTGATCAACATACATTTATCACTTTTGAAAGCTACTACTGGCTGAGCATGGTGGCTCGTGCCTGTCATCCTAGGACTCTGGGAGGCTAGGGTGGGTGGATCACTTGAGCGCACGAGTTGGAAACCTGCCTGGGCGACATGGCAAAACCCAATCTCAAAAAGAAAGTAATATTACTGTGTAAAACATGGACTGCAAAGATATACACCCAACCCACAGGACGGGCCCACAGAGGGTGCTTACCTGAAATGTGTTACTTCTTGAAACCCAATTGTTCTGGATTCTGGCTGGGGAGACGAGGGCACGTGCTCTGTGCCCTCCGCATCTCCATCCACTGTGAAGGCCTGCGTGCTCCCTGAGCCCAGACCCCAATCCGGAACCACCCAGGCACATGGTGGAATGAAATGCAGAACGTGGCCATCGTATGCGGAAGTACAAATTTAATAAAGCCTCTGATCACATCTCCATCCATAAGTTAGCTACAAAAACAAAACATCCTGCAACTTTTTAGAGCCATCAAGAGCCATCAAGGTGTCAGTGAACACCAGTTACAAAAGGAGATTCAGTGTTTCAGATAGTGCAATATTTCCAGCTGCTGAGAAGAAAAAATTAAATGAAATTACAAACTACCCCTCCTTGTCAAAAATCCACATAGGTAAAGTTGATACTGGTGCTTATAAATCACTCTCTCCCTAGTCCCTCACTGGCTCTGACCTTCAGATAATAAAAATGAGGACAGGGTCTACCTTCTCTGTGCAGGCTGACAGTCTGGGGTCCCAGCATGTATGCACAAACCTGCCCAGCATGTGCACAGACGTTCAGAAATCTTCAAAGGAACTGAGCATTTGAAGAAAGTGGCAAGTCCACAGAAGTAAGAGGTTACTAACACATCTTAAATAACATGAATGCATTCCTGTCTTTAAATTCCTTGCCAAGTTTCCATCAAAGTAGAGCACACACAGTTTTCCAAAGCCCAGGGTCCTGACCTGGGTGGGACACCAGGATACAGCTGAAACCCTCTGAAGGACTGTGGGGACGGGTGGCCCCCTGCTCTGCTGCCACCGGGACAGCTCTTGTTGGAAAGTGTTTTGCAGTTGTGAAGAGAGCAGGAGGGACTGGGCCTTCCTGGCTGTGAATCCAGCATCCGTCTCAGTGGCGTGGATGCAGGTGCGGGAGCAGGAGCGTGAGGTGGGAGAGGGTAGGTGGCTGTCAACACACACCACAACAGGGTCTCTGCCTCAGCTCCCTGGATCTACAGTAAAGTTCTTAGAACAAAGGTAAAGAATGAGGGCAGAGGAACACAATGGGTTGGAAGAGAAATTAAGTTTAAAAAAAGAAAAAACCAACCCAGAGGGTGTGAGCCTCTGTCAGTGCAGCGGGACTCCAGGTTCCCTGTGCTGAGGAAGGATGGGCGACGAGACCCAAGTTTCTTGGGATTTTGCCATCTGTGGAGTGAAGCCACCGCCCAGACGGGATGGCTACCTTAGGTTAGTGTTTGTTTCATTTAGATAACAAGTGGGGCAAATAAGCAGGGTCAAAGGCAGCTGTCCTCCGTGGGACTAGCGGGCTTTGGGTAACAGCCAGCGTGTTCTGGAAACGGGGCTGCTGCTAAGGACCAGTGGTTTTCTTCTCCCAAACCAAGATGCCAGGGTGAATGCATAAGACAGGAACAGGCCCGGGAAGGTTCCCTGGCAGCTCGGCCCGCTGAGGATGCAGGAAGAAGGAGGACCGTGGTGTGGAGCATGTGGCTTCAAGGCGGGAGTAGCGCCTTGGACTCACAGTGCTCCGTGGCGTCCCTAGCAGGCACCTGCGCTTCCCTGGGCAGCAGATGGGCCTGGCTGTCTGGGAAGAAGCCTTGTGGACGGCATGGAGGCAGAGACTTTGTCAGGTGCATAGAGGCTTGGCGAGGCCTTACCTGAGTAAGAGATTTCAGAAACGAAAGGAGAGAATCTCACGTGCAGTAGGCTTTGTACACTCAGACCCATGTTGCGAAAACCACTCTGCACTCCTGGAATTCCTGGGACTTGTTCATACACAGCTCACTCAGAAGGCTAAGGAAAGACAGACTCCCAAAAAGATCACACTAACAAAAAGAAGGTCCTCTGGCATCACCAGGAAGGACGGAGTCGCGTGGGTGGAACCTGGAGGTTTATGTTCTGCAGCCCTGGGCTGTGGGCATCACCTGAAGAATGCTGTGTGGCATTATTGTGGGTCTAAAGTTCTTGAGGCCACAGGGGAGTCTCATGGCTATAGAGAGGGTCTGGGGAGCGACGGCACCTGGCATGTTGGTCACACTCCCAGGGGCCGTGCTGTGTCTGGGAGCTGAAGGTCCTTAGCAGCCCAGAAACCCTGGAGGCAGGGCCAGGGCGGGAGCTAAGAGAGTTCAAAGCCTGTGTTCATGCTGATGGCGTAGCGCAGCTTCTCACGGAGGACGCTCTTCTTGCTGTAGTTGGGCAGCTTGAGCAGGTTGAAGCAGGTGGAGGAGGTGGGCAGGCGGCCGCCTGGCTCCCGCTTGCGGATGGTGAAGAAACCCCGGAGGACACTGCCCAGGGTATCCCCGGTATCCTGAAGGCACACATCATGGCCTTGGGTTGGGAGGTGCCTAGCTTGTGAGCCCAGGCAGGTGCCAAGGCCGACAGCCCAGGGAGAGGGCCTGGCCAGTCCCTGGATGCTGGGTAGAGTGCAGAGTGCTGCCCTGGCACCACAACCTGAGGTCAAGCCCCGGGCTCAAGATGACTGGCCTTAAAAGGCTGAGTCCAGAGAAGCAAGCTCTGCTCCTTGGGACCTGCAGAGAATTCCTGCACTAAGCAAGCTCCTGGGAATGGGCCTTCTGGTTAACAGCTAATTATTGCTTAACCAGTTGTCAAAGAGTAGAATGCTGTAAAACTCCGTTAGGTACCAAACATTTCTGAGTACCCTCCTTCCCTCCTCACCAGTGCTGTGGCCTGTGGCAGACCATGTCCTGGGCCAACTTTCCCTTAAGCACGGAGGCCGAGGACTGAGGAACTCTCTGCACGAGGAGGCACCAGGGGCTCACACTGCATCAAGCGAGGCAGCTACACCCAGAGGCAGCCACTGGGTTTTTACGGGGAGTAGGACTCCCATGTGAGCCCCCAGTGGGCCAGGCTGGGGACACACAGAGCTTGGTAACCCTGGATTCCTTCTCCTTTGGCCAATGAGGAAATGAAGCAACGTGCCTGGACACGCACAGCTGCTGCGGTGGGAGCCGCACTCGAGCCTGCGCCTGTCTGCCTCCTAAGCCCACTCTCAACTTCTCTCATGCTGCCTCTGATCTGCAGCCCTGGTGAGGCCAGACGCCACTAAAAACAGCACGTACCCACCCCCACTCCAGGTAGGAGGAAGGAAAGAGAGGGGAACCACCGAGAGAGGGCTGAGTGCCAAGAGTGGGCACTCTGCCTGGGTGGCTGGTTCTCCCGCCGTGAGAGCTGTGGGGCCCTCCCCACTTGGCTCTGAGGGGCCCAGCTGCCTGCCTTCCCAAGACGTGGGATAGGTGAGGGCCCCACATGATGGGCAAGGCAGCCAACCACCAAGAGGGAAGTCAAGCAACACTGCCCAAGGCCGGCTCTTCCCACCCACCCCATGGGGGTACCTGATCATCTGACACTTCCACGCAGCGGATGGAGAAGGGAGGCTTGAGGTAGGCGAATCCCAGGAGTGGTGGCCTGGAACAGCTGGTCACGAACTGCAATATGAGGCAGGATCAGTGGGGACGAAGAAGGCTCCCGCTCTTTCAGGATGGGCCCTTGCAGCTGTGCGGTACACATTTGCTCTGACCATCACCATGTTGTAACTGCTATCCAGCCAGCCATATGGGGTGGCAGGGTGGATCTGGCCTGAAAAGTGACCCACGTGGCACATCTCTGTCAAGGGTGCTGCTCTCGGGGACTAAGACACATGAAACCCATACCCAGCAGATGCGACTGGCCACTTGTGAGAACACGTGTGACTGCAGAGTAGGAACAGCACGAACGTCCAGCCAGGGCACTGATGAGGCATCCCCAGGAGGCAGGTCTCCCATGAGATTGTTAGAGGAACAGAGCAGTGGCTGACACCCTCCCGTGGAGACATCATGGGACAAGAGCACGGGAGACAGTAAGGGCGAGGTGGAGGCTGCCGGCATCCACTGTGCGTGGCATGAAAAGAGGGAGCCAGGGAGGCCCGCACTGGCCTTGCACTTGGCATCCTGCCAGCCACTTAGTCACACAGAGGGGATTGTGTGGGTGCAGTCACCTGAGCCCTAGGCCTCCTGATTTAGAGTGGTCTATGTGCTGGGGCCCAGGGGGCCCTTCTGCAAGAGATGAATAACCTATCAGCACACTGACAATAATCGGGTCCCAGAGCCAGCGAGGCTGCAGAGTAGGCCGAGGTGCTGGCAGCCCAAGTGGGGCCTGTGGGCAGCCAGCCACACTTCCCTGCTATCCTGGGGAACTCCTGGGGATCTGCAAATGGCAGCCCCTGTTATTCCCCTAAATGTGCGAGCTCGTGCCTGGACAGAGACATCTGACCAGCCTGGAAATCCAAGTGATAAACTTGCACGGGAGTGTCCTAAGAAACCATTCACTTTAACTCCACAGTAGCCAGGAATGTTCTCGCTTCTCTAGGGAATACAGGGAGTTGTCACTTGCACCATCAAGCTGTACTCTAAAATTCAGAGGCAAGCTGAGAGTTTGGGTCTTGTTATAAATGGTTATGAGATTCCCGAGACCATCCAAAGACAGTTTATGTGTGTCAGGCATCAAAAAAAAGTTTGAAAAAGAGTATTAAACAGGATCTATCCCTATTTGGTTTTAATTATAAAAACCATAGTAGCAGCAATGCAGGAAGCATTCTTGTATTTCCACACTGTGCCAGGCATTCCCTGAAGCAACCTTATGCAATCACTCTACAGATGCTGTTTTGGAACTGTGGTTAGTCCTGTTTTACGGATGAAGAGACAGACACAGAAGTATCTGCACATCCCAGTTTAGGCCGGCTCAGGTCTGCCCGCTGCAAATGTAGGTGGCTCAAAGGAGGGAGGGGAGCTTTCCCGCTCCTGGGAAGGGAGGAGAACAGGGGACACAGGAAGCCCCTGGATGCTCTGCTCACGTTACATTTAAGAGAAGTGTGGTCATGTCCACTCCTTGGCAAGGGCTGCGTTTTTCCTGCTTGGCTCTGGAGCCTGTCTGCAGCTACACAGAAGGGCAGGCACATGGTAAGCAACTATAGGTTTGGTGACAGGTTATCCAAAGACACAAACACACCTGTTTTGTGGGGCGGCACCTGCACAATGATGAGGCACTGGCTCCTCTCTGTAAGAGGGGCCAGGGTGAGCAGTTGCTGCTTTGCCCATGAGGCACTTCTGGGAAACTTCAATGAATTCTCCCAGAATCAGCTTCTGGAATTCTGTCTGCCTGCTCACCCTGAATCCCTGGAGCCCTGTGGGGCATTCGTGTATCTGCTGGACTGAGTGAGGGCCTCTTCAACAGGAATAAACTCTCCTCAGAATGACCACCCAGGAGAGAGAAAACCAGCTGTTATTTTAATTGCCGGTGACACTGTCCAGGTTGCCTCAACAGAGAAGGCCACGTGAGGTTGTTCAAGCCCAAACCTCCAAAAGAAAATATTTCAAGGCACTAAATTTACCCCCGGAACATAACAAGATGTTCACAATAGTCTGTAAAGTAGGAAGGCTGGTGGGGAAATGATAGGATTCCATTTTTAGAGAAATATATACACATACATAACACATACACAGAGAAGTGTGTGTGCCATCCAGTGTCCTAGAAAACACTTACATGCTGCTCATGTCAGTAATAAAAACACTGCAGTGGCATTAGGGGAATATTTTGAACATTTACAACTTTAGACACCGTAATAGGGGAATCGTTTAACATCAGCCACTCTATTTGCAAAAATATACCTTGATATCAGCCCAAGCAATTGTGTGTGTTTTATTGGGACAGTGTGGGTATACATGTGTGTCTTACACTATTGAGAAAATGGGTATACAGAGGTAGTCCCTGGTGAGGAGTGTAGAGAGTTGACAATTCTATACTGGAGGAACAGCAATCGTTTAAAATTTTGCTTATCTCTATTTTCCTAAGATATGGTAAGGTTCCAAGCAGAGTCATTTACTTCTATAATGAAAGGAAATAAAGAAAAAAGAGGTTAGCAAGGCCAGCATGGGCGAAGGGGAGGACGGGGTGCCGAGCATAATAGGTATGTGTACTGCGCAGGGGGCCTGTCCCTGCAGACAGGGACACAGAGAGGGCTCAGCTGTGCCCCTCGAGCCCCTCTCTGGTTATTGCTTGGCCTACCGGGAGGCCTGCCTGTGGGAGAGGATGTGCTGACCGTCTGACGTTCTCCTGATAATTTCATTTTCTTCAGTGTGAATTATTACATCAACTGGCCTTCCAGGTTTATGAGAATACATGCACGCATGCAGAGGTAATAAATAAAATACCTTCAGAAACATAGCTCTCTCATCTGGTGTGAAGTCGGAGGCCAGAATATCCCAGAGCCAGATGATGACTCTGTGACTTCCGTGGAAACCACCATAGTACACTGTGTGCTTCCTGAAAGCAATACAGATCTGGGTTCAGCAACGTGTTCCGGGAGGCACTATGGACAGGCAGGCAGGTCACGTACACAGGTGGCACGGTTCACTCTGGCAGGCCCAGGGAACACCACTAACTTTTCTTAAAGCCAGAAGTCCCTGCCTCAATAACCCCATCTCCCTAGGAAGCTAAAAGGGTAGGAAATTTGACAGCTGGCCCTGCTATTTCCAAGCAGAAGCCAACCCCAGATCCTCTGACCCCATCTCCTAGAGCTTCAGAGAACCCCCAGACCTAGGCCTGCTTCCACTTCTCAATCTCTAGGCAGACAAGTGGTCTAGCTTTTAGTCCAAAGCAGCCCTGCCAGTGACCAGGGAGGAGGAGGAGATCTGGAGACAGGCTCCTAAAATAACTCTCTAAAAGGAACCCAGGGAGGGAGCAGCTGCTTTCTAGGAGGCCTAGGAATTTCACTCTTCCCCCCACCCGCCTCTTACTTTAAATCTTCCAGATCAATCTCAGCATTGTCGCCCGAGATGAGACGTTGCAGTTCAGGAGTTGAGAACATTCGGATCCACTCGGGTTTGATAATGGAACGGAATCCACTAATGAGGGCAGCTGTCTGGTTTTTTATTTGAGTGTGCATTCGAAAATGCGCCATCAGATGGATGTAGCTAATTCTGTTGCCAACAAGGGAGAGAAAACTGACAATTAACAGGACGGGGCAGGCTGTCAGCAATAGGCAAAAAGATGAGTCTAGTCATTTCTGAACCATTATACAAAAAACACAAATAGGACCAGAGCATTTCACCAGAACAATGACAGTGGGACAATGATGACAGCACTCATGAACTGCACAGCATGTGCCACTGTGAATGCATCAAGCCCTCGAGGGCACTGCCTCATTCACTCCTCCCCAAAAGCTACAGGTCACACCTCAACTGTTAAGCCCCCACTGTGTCGGGAATCACACCACAAAGAGGCATTCCCCAGGTAAGGAGAGGGCCCTTCTTAGTACAATGGGTGCTTTTTGGGCTTCCATTTCATCTCATTCTTCTGGATATAAGTCAATTAAGATATCATTCAGTCCTCTAATAAGTTTTAAAGTAGAAAAAAATTGTTCCATGTCAAAACTTTAATCAAAACCTTGCTAATCTGGACCAACAGTCTGAAGCTATGGCAAGGCTGACCTGCAGATGCTTTCAACATGCAGCTGGGATAGGGGTGGACTCAACTGGAAGCCAGATGGACTCACAATGGTTCCAAGCAGAAGGTCTTCTGGGTCTGCTTTTAAGAACACAGTGCCCTCACCTACAACTGCGTATATAATAGCATATAATCCTTTTCAACAGGTTAAACCCATTTCAACAGGTTTACTAGCATCACTGATCTCTGTCTGTCTGTCTGTCAGTCTCTCTCTCTCTCTCTCTCTCTCTCTCTCTCTCTCTCTCTCTCTTCCCCTCCCTCCCTCCCTCCCTCAAGTTCAAGCAATTCTCCTGCCTCAGCCTCCCAAGTAGCTGGGACTACAGGCATGTGCCACCACACCTGGCTATTTTTTTTGTATTTTTAGTAGAGACGGGGTTTCACCATGTTGGCCAGGCTGGTCTCAAATTCCTGACCTCAGCTGATCCGTCTGCCTCGGCCTCCCAGAGTGTTGGAATTACAGGTGTGAGCCACTGCACCTGGCCTTTTTTTTTTTTTTTGAGATGAAGTTTTGTTCTTGTTGCCCAGGAGTACAATGGTGCAATCTCGGCTTACTGCAACCTCCACCTCCGGGGTTCAAGTGATTCTCCTGCCTCAGTCTGCTCAGTAGCTGGGATTACAGCACCTGCCACCACGCCCAGCTAATTTTTGTATTTTTAGTGGAGACAGGGTTTCACCATGTTGGCCAGGCTGGTCTTGAATTCCTGATCTCAGGTGATTCACCTGCCTTGGCCTCCCAAAGTGCTGGGATTACAGGTGTGAGCCACTGCGTCCAACCTTGCATCACTGATTTCTTATCAAAGCACTTGAGCCCAGCCCAGGTACAACTCTCATCAATTCCAAATTCATACAAATGAATGTTTTATCTCACAGTGCTCAAGTTTTAGTGACCTTGAAAATATCCCTATTTAAAAAAACCAGCAGCAAACCTATACATTAATACATTCAAATATGATTTTTTTTAATCATTGCTCCTTCCAGGTACTTTTTGAAGCAGGTTACAAATAGTGCTCCACTTTACTGAGAAACAGGGAGGTAGGAGAGAAGGACAGGAGACATTCGACACTTATAAAAGTGCAGGATCAAATGGCAGGACAGGACTCTACCTCTAGCACAGCCTGCCCCAACCCACCTCCTCTGGGCGCTCTACCTAGCAGTCAGTGTCTATGTGGGAAGAGCAAGTGACTGCCTACTGTCACCCCCAAGCTACAACACCTGGCAATGCACGGCATCTCGGGGGGTGGCAGGATCCGTGTGACATGTCACCCATCTGAGGATGGTAACCATCACTGCTGTCATTTATTAAGTCCCTCCTCTGAGCCTGACACCCGGGAAGGTATTTTATACACATTACGCTATGAGCAGCCCTCTGAAGGAATGGCTGCAGGTTACATGCAGGCAGGGCAGGACTCACCCCTGCTCTCTCTGGCTGTAGCTGGGCCCTCTTTACTCTCCCAGGCAGGCCCTCCCAACCTGCACTTTGTTCCTTCTGAGTTTTCAAACTAATGCCCTGTGGCCAAGGAGCAAGGCCAGTGTATTTCAATCATTATGAAAACAGGGTCTGTTCTCCTGATGCTTCTGACAGTCTAGATAAAAAAACTCCCCAAGCATGCAGACTGACCGAACTACCTGATCTGAGAGGAACATGATGCTTGGGAACACTGGACTGTGACATGCATCTGATTCAAATGACTCATCAGGTGAGACTGAGCCCTCACTTGTCACTAAAGAGACTGATGCTCCAATTAACAGTTCAAATGCTCAACGGAGCCTGGCGGTGAAGACTGATGGACTGACAAAGGGGCCAATGTCTCCTCATGCCAGGCTCCACTCTTTTTAATTAGGTGACAATAGGGCCGGTGGAGACCGTGCACTGAGAGGTTTTGCTTCTAAGGACCAAAAAGGATGACATTTATGATAGATTCTGCAGCACCCGTTATCTGTGACGATAGTTGCAGGGCCTCAGAGTCTCCAATTCCCATGTCTAAGGACCTCTGTCTGCGGCATTTAACTTCAACACTGTGTCTTCTCAAGAACACCGTTTTATACAGCTGCCACGTGCTATTATCCAAAATGATCTGCCCCTCCCCTCCAAGGTGTCTTTCCGACTCTGTGCCCTCTGGGTTCAGGACAGTGTGCTGAATCAATCCATCTGTCTGCATCTAGGGCCGTCATTAAACTCCTAAGAACACCGTGGCCTGGGTGCCTCTGACCTTAGAAGTGCTACTGCAAAAAATAAATGGCAAATTCTTATGCTGCAAGTAGATTTTTTTTTTTTTTTTTTTTTTTTTTTTTTTTGAGAGAGTCTCGCTCTGTCACATAGGCTACAGTGTAATGGCATGATCTCAGCTCACTGCAACTTCTGCCCCCCGGGTTCAAGCAATTCTTCTGCCTCAGCAGCCTGAGTATCTGGGATTACAGGCATGTGCCACCATGCCTGGCTCATTTTTGTATTTTTAGTAGAGACAGGGTTTTACCATGTTGGTCAGGCTGGTCTTGAACTCTTGACCTTGTGATCTGCCCAACTCAGCCTCCCCAAGTGTTAGGATTACAGGCGTGAGCCACCATGCCTGGCGGCAAATCGACTTTAATACAATTCTGGCCTATGAACTGTAACCAGTAAATTCCATTATGATATTTACGGCCCCTTTCTACTTCAATCTATCTTAATGAATTCTCAACATAAGCCCAGAGAGCCAGAATGAAGTCTTTTCAAGTGGTGACCTTAAAAATCTAATTGCTATACTCACTTATTTTCATTTGTAACAGGAATGGTCTTCCCTCCAGGAATCAGTTCATGGCAAACAAGCTGGGGGAGAAGATGCGGAGTAATTACTAGGGAGGACTCTAATGGGGAAACAAAGCTTCCTGGAGATGAAAGGGCTGGCACAAACATCCACGATAATAATGGAATTAAGACGGCACATGCTTGGGAGCCACCCTTTTTCATGAAAAGTCAAGGCTGAAATATCAACAAGCAGATCCTGCATGACTGATATGAAAGGTTTTTTCTCACCCAATCCTTGTTCAAACATTTGTATTAAGACTTCAAGATGTCATGAAGGGGAATGTGTTGGCATTTCAGAGCGAGCATGACAGTTAAATAAACACTGGCACATCCATACCCTGGACTACTGTGCAGGTATGAAACAATATGATGAAAATGTGCATTTACTGAAAAGGTGAAAAAAGGCCAATAATGTAGCAACACTGCACAGAATGGTATCGTTTCTAGTGGGGAAGACTCTGGAAAGAGTCTCAAAGGATGTAAGCAGCACACTACCAGGGGCACCCTGTGGGCACTGGCATTCCAGACGGCTGGCGTTTTCATCTTTTGCTCTTATTAGAACTATGCTTTTTGTTAGAAGTTTCATTATCTTTATAGGCGGAGGGAAAAGTGTATTAGGAGGAAGCCTCAACATCTGACTATAGATTTATTTTAAACTCTGTAAAATCAACTGCTTCTTTTGACTTCAAGAACACTTCTGTGGGCCACCTCATTTGAAGCTAATTTTAATAGAAATTCTGTGAAGATCCTATGACCCTATGTATATAGAAGAAAAAATGGCGATCCCAGCCCCACTGCTGTCAGCATCTGGGTGGCACCGGTGGGTTTTAAAGCCAAAGGCAGCCTGAGGATTCTCAGGATTCCAGGAAACATCCTGCCTATGAGCTATTCTTCAGAAAACCATCATGCAAGACAGCATTCTTTTCTTCCTTCGAGAAGAGCTCTGTGTCGGAGGAGTTAGGGAAGCTTGAGGTTAACTCAATTCCACTTTGCTTTCCTCCCCACAGGCTGCTCAGAGCCCTCACATGCCAGCCCGCCCAGGGGCCTTGCAGGAGGACAGGCCACGCAGGGCTCCCAGCGGCGCTTACAGACTGAGCCCCGTCCAGGACTCACAGCTGGCAAATGGATATGGAAAGTGTGGCTCAGGGAAACTGGGAGTTCTCTCTGAGCTGCCTAAGCCCATCTAAGGCGTTGGCTCTGCATTAAGCAGCTCGCAATGCAGTTTCTCCCAAGCGGCCCTCGGACACACACTCCCAGAGATTCACCAGGACACTATCGGGGTGGGCGGAGGTTGCTACAGAGGAAAGCCGGAAGGAACTGTGGGGGACACGTGCTGTGGCCCTGACTCCAGGGTCTCTGCTGCCTGCTCTACTCTGCACCCAAGCACGAACAAGGCCAGGCGTCTGCTCCAGGCACTTCTCGGGTGGCATCTTCCCCTCTCTAAGTCATAATCCTCCATCTGTAATGGCTAATCCTCACCATGGTAACGAAAAGCCATGTTACAAATGGGGAATTACCCTAAAATGCGATATAAGAAAGTGGGGTCTCTGCAGGGAGCTTCAAAGGCCGGGTCAATAGGGAAGGAAAGGAGAAAGGAGGGCGCCCCCACTCCAGGCAAGATGGGAGGAGGATGGGTGAGAGGGGAGGGAGGACGAGGGACCAGACAGAGCCTCAGCTTGGGGCTCTTTTTCAGGAAAACACTAAGAACATGGCAGGTCTCAGGAACCCACTGGGGGCATGCAAAGGGAGCTCAGCCAGAGGGCGGACCTACCTGACCCATAACGTCCTCGTCATAAGACAGCGTCAGGCCCAGGTCAGCGATGTCTCCGTCATAGCGCTAATGTAACAGAGAAGGCGAAAGTGCTGGGGCCAAGGAGTGCTCCAGGCTTACAGGTTTAACCCTCCCTGGAGGCGCTACTTTGGTGCTGTGAACACCCACGGCTGCTGAGCAGCTTGAAGCCAAGGTCATTTGTGACTCTGAGAAGGGAGGTTGTGAGAATCAGCCCTGAGTGGGAGTGCCCACAGGAGGATGCGGGGCCTGCAGCAGCTACTGCGACAGCGAAACGGGACGACAGGCCATCTCCTTCTGGGACTTCACAAAGCTGTGAGTTCACACCAGTGTTCGGCTTAGCTCACCCACCATTCCACACTCACCTTGATGGAGGTGAGGTTTTTATAGAACTCGGAGTCCAGAGAAGGCAGTTCATCCACCGAACTATAGAAGACGCTGTGGTGGTGCCCGAGCAGCTGGCTCAGGAAGAAGGATGCGAACGGCACGTCCACCACAATTCCCTGGGAGAGCAGAGAAGCAGAGCTGTCGATTGTCCAGGATTCTGACTTGGTGTTTGGATGCGGTGGCTCAGGGTGTGGACATGGCCCAAGGGTGCCACAGGCATTTCCAGGCCCCTCTTAAGTTTCCAATCTGGAGAGTGGTATCTCCCCATCCTCTACTAAATACAACTGAGTGCCCCCTGGGACATTATAGCATGGGGGTCAGGATACAGGCTTTGGAGCTAGTGCTCAGGGACTAAATTACAGCTGGGCTACTGCCAGGCCAGGGCCCACAGCTGTCTCACCTGTCAATGGAGAGCAGCAGCAGCCTCTCAGTTAAGAGGACAGAATGGGCACAGTACCAACCCCCTCTCAAGCTCTCAGGGCAGCCATGGCATGGGCAGGGGCTGGAGGAACACAGAGGACAGGCTCTCCTCCAGAGGCAGGGTGGGGAGTTCCCAGGAGGAAAAGCCAGCTAAGCGAGGCCTAAAGGAGCTAGCCAGGCACTGGTACGAGGCCCCAGGCATGCTCCAGGGATGGAGGGCAGGGAAGCCATGAGGCCAGGGAGGACGCAGGGCCAGGTCAGGGAGGGCCTGTAAGCCTTGCTGCAGGCTGGATTCTGTCCAGAGGGCTCTGAGCAGGGAAGGGACAGAGCTGCACTTTATGCAGGGAATGGGCTGGCGAGAGGAAGACAGGAGGCAGGGACACAGCCAGACAGCTGTGGCATAATGCCAGGGGCAACGCTGACAGACTGTGCCAGGGCAGCGGCAGGAGGATGGAGAGACATGTGGACTGGAGAGACTGATATGGGACAGTCACTCAGACTCGACGACACCTGTCAGAAGACCGTGAGGGGTAAATGAGTTAATCCACGCCACTCCTCATGCCGGGCCTAGCAGGTCCCATCTTCTCTCGTCAGCGCAATTACTGTCGAAGGTGAGGGAGGGGAAAGAACATAGAGGCAAGGCCTGGGAAACAGGACAACATTCAGAAAAGCCAGGAGGCCACGCTTTCCAGGTGGCCCAGGCTCTTCTGGGTGTCATCACAGCAATGCGTTCAAAGGAAAAACATGCCATGTGCTCGGGTGAGTCCGAATAGGATTGTTTTTTCAATGGCAATCAACTGAGAAATGGTCTCCATTGTGCAGATGAGGAAACAGAGGCATACAGAGTGAGCCCAGGACCCAAACCACTAGAGGGCACAAGGAAGACTGGATGGTGTCTAGGCAGGGGCTCAGATGGGCCACCTGACTCCCCTACGGCCAGAGACTGAGGACCACGCAGACAGGCGGCTTCCAGAGAGACAAAGAACAATGGATTATACGAGAGTGCAAAGAGTTTGGTCCTGAGACCTCCCTCTCAGCTTGCCCCAGCTGCTGGCTCTTTCTGTTCGGAAAGCATCTGGCTTCTCCAGGTTCCTGGGGTATTCGAGGAGTGCTGCCCAGGTGGCTCACTTCCTCTGTGCGTGGGCCAGGAGCTCAGCAGAGCCTGGGCCCCGGGGAAGGTCCCTGCAGCTCTGGAGCCCACTACGAAGGCCATACGGCCTGGATGGGCTCGTGCTGCCACTTTCTTTCTCCATGGGAAGCAGAACTCTCCCCAGGAAGAGGCGGTGATGTTCCCCTCAAGGTGGTCCTGCCTCCACTTTCAATGGACAGGGAGCAGGAGTTGCGTGGGCCTCCACATCGCCCTGACCCCACGAGGCCAGAGTGGAAACCCAGACTCCCTTCCTTTTAGTAAGGTGAGGATGACTGCGCCGATCCACCTAGGGTGAGCAGCTGCTGGGCATTGTAGCCGTCCTCACTTACCATCAACGGCAACCCGGGAACCTGGTTTTTCTTATCTCCACTTTGCTATGAGAGAAACGGGCTTAAAAACTAAAGGAACTTGAAGGCACAGGGTCACACAGCTGACTAGAAACAGCTGGTCTTGACGGGTTGCCATGGCTGGGAAGCACTCACTCAAACAGCAGAAGGTTTTAACGCTATCACACTCCACAAAATGCTGCCCTCCTACAATGGGGCCCCAGGCTCTGTGTGGCCATTTGGCTCGGCATACCACTCCTCGTGCTTCAGGAGACAGGGCTAGCTTAGGACTCGAGCCGGCACGGGCTCAAATTCTGCCTCTACCACTTAAATTAGCAACAAGACTCTGGACAGGTGACTCCTCAAAGCTTCAGGTCTCCCATCCTTAAATAGCCAGGACAGCGGCAGCTCCATCACAGGACTGGATGGATGAGATGAGACGCCACGGGCAAAGTACCTAGCACTGGTGTACAATAAACCTTGGTCTATGTCCCTGTCCTTGCTTGCACCCTAGTGACAGTTTACATGGCCAAGCCTGATCACATACATACATGTATATGAAAAAGCCCAAGGTACCGCTGACATTTTATTTTACATTTCTCTGCTTCTTCATGTGCCTACCTCATACACAGCCTTCCCCAGCATCTTCCCCACAAACTCAAAGAGCTGCAGGTAATTCTCGTGGATGTAGGATGTGGGTGAGGGGTACAGCCTCTCATCCCCACTGGTTGTCTGCAAGGCAAAAAGACAGGGAGAGGCAGAGGTGAAGTACCTTGCAAGGAGCAAGCCAAGCTCTTCACTTCTCAAATCTGGCTGCTGTCAACCCTGCTGTCCCTCCCCTTAAAATACCTTGAACAGATTGAGTGCGGGGTCAAACACTCTTTTGATGATCTCTTCCAAGAACTCCTTGAAAACGCCATCTTGATCAATGCCTGCTTCGTCCACCCCGAGGTCATTGACAAACTTCACCCGGATGACCCCCTTCATTGCATGCTGGGAGAGCTGCCGAAGCTGCTCGTAGCCGTCCTGCCAAGAGCAGATGACAGCCCATTTGGAGCCCAGAGTCTTCTGCACAATTCAGGGCTCCCTCTCCTCTGTGGGAAGCTCTTCCACCATTATTACCAAAAGTGCAAATCATGACACGTGGGTGCATGACAGGAGCCGTTCTCACCTGTTTTTGAATGAGCGCTGATTAAAAGATTCATTTGGGGATGTGGCTGTATCACTCCTTGGCAAAGGGAGAGACTGACCTCAAGGGGACAGAGCAGTGAGATGGGGAAATCAGATAAAATGAGTCATGACAAGCTCTCGGCCATCAGACAAAAGATGAAAGAAACTGGGACAAGACACATTTCTCTCTCTCTCTCTCTCTCTCCATGCTAAGAGTATCTTTAGCTCATGGTAAAAAACAAAACAAAAAACAAATCAAATCTACAGAACACTAGACAATGAAAAGAATTACCCATCACCCTCCTCTCCTGCTTCCTTCCCAATCATGAAGCACCTTCAAGTCATGCTGAGGAATTTAGGGGACATCCTGAGGGTGATGGGAGCTGCAGAAGGTTTGAGGCAAAGAGTAACAGGGCTGACCTTCTGTCTTAGAAAGATCTTTCTATTGGCAGCAAAGCAGGTGGATGACAGGGACCAAGGCAGGGAACAGAGAGGCCAAGATGTGGGGGTAGTGTTGGGTCTGGACCTGGGGCTGGTGGTCAGCTCTCTCAGGACACAGCCGTTCAGCACATCTTCTCTATCCAGACCTCAACACACATGGCCCCTAGCACACAACTTCGGAGTTCTCCTACTAAATCATCTGTTTAGTTTGTCTCATGATTCTTATCTGTCGAGGCCTTCCTGGCTTCTGGTTCCATTGTCTAATGCATTTCTTGTACTTGGAGTGCTGGTTTTAACTCCAGAGCAGTGACTACAAACACAGCACTGAACAGCACAGAGCCCAGGGAAGAGTCTGTTGGCTCCACTTGAGAGGCCCCATCACCAAGTGAAATTGATGTCTTCAGATACTGTGACGGAAAGAGTCACCAACCAACCCTGCTGTCCTATGAAGGCCATGCCACATCTCTCCCTTTCAGCTACAACCGTAACACTGTCACATGTTTTGCCAAGGTTAGAAAGACCATCTCCGTAGCATCCACTCAGCTCCCGCCTGGTCCCCTCCTCACAATGCAAACGAGCAGTATGCCCATATGGTGAGACCTGTTCTGGGGAATCCTTGCTGCCTTCCTGCCATGCTCAGTGATCCCTAAAGGATTACCCTATGGTACCCCTGAATCTTATTCAGGGGTTAGGCTCCAAAGTTAGTGAGCAAAGGAAAAATTACCTCTCAAGATCCCTAAGTCACCTGCGGGAACAGGAGCATAGTTTTGTGTACCCAAACCTGAGGACTTTTTTATGTACATAAAGTTTGAGAATCATTAAGTCAGATGAAAAACGGGAGAAACAGGAAGTTACCATGCAGCTATAACGCCATTTAAGCCATTCTGCCTAAATTTAAGATAATTATCTTGGCACTGAGATGAGGACGGATGGAGAATTCCAACAAGTTCCTGTCTGCCTGCAGGAGTTCCTCCATCCTGCGTTAAAACTATGCCTCCCCAGCCTTCATACGATTAGTAGGTACGTCCGTCGTTATGTGGCTGAAAAGGGACAGGACGTGTGAAAGCACGCAGCACATGGCCTAGCCCACGGATTCAAATCTCAGTCTTGCTTAATCAGCTCCACATCAGCTTCTTCGTTAGAAAGCTGAGGGGGAATGCCTGTCTTGATACACTTCCTGCCCTCTGGGAACTGGCGTGGATGTGCGAGGATTGTATCCGTGCCTCATGGGAGGTGAATGTGAGTCAGCGTTCCTCTTCTCCACCGCATCTCAACATAGAGACACAGGGAATACCTACCGAGCCAGGAAAGGGATGCCTAGCTTGCAGGACCAGCTCTGTCACTGACATCCAAGTGACCTTGACTGTTAGAACTTCTCTAGCCTCAGTTCTGCCTTTGACAGGGACAGGGGAAAGGGCTGGATAGGAGTATGTTTGAGGATCCTTCCAGTTATAAATGCTAAGAGTTCCAGCCCAAACTCACCCTCTGGGAAGGAGAGCCTTCCTGCAGGACTTTAATACAGTACCTGGAAGCCTAATAGAGAAGCATGGCCCGCAATACAAACCATAAAAAAGGAAACAATTAAAGCCCAGGAGAGCATGAGCCTGAGATCAGCTTACTGACGCCCCCTTGTGACCAAACCCAGCAAAGGCCCCTGGGCGCTCATATTCTCATAACCAAACCACCAGATTACGAGAACTGGGGTAACAATGAACCACCCTCTCCCCTTCTCCAATGGAAGGTAAAGAGGAAAAGAGACTTTGCCTAAAACCTAAGACAGACATCTCTTTTGCCATCCCTGAGGGATGTGTTTTAAAAAGTAGGCCCAGAGTTAACTGGGATGTCAAGTGAATTCTGTGGAGGGAGTCGGGGGATTCTGCCACTCTCAGGAGATACTGCAATCTACACCAACCCAGTCTCTTCCTGTGGGCGGGTGCTGGTCATATCTGGGTGGGCATGATGGGTGGTGAGGCTGAGGACTTCTAGAGACAGGGGAGGTGCATCTGGGTCTGCTGAGGCAAGTGCTGCAAAGGGAGTTTCTACCACACGACTGGGCTTTTTCTGAGTCAAAAGCAGAGATTGCAAATGTGCGACCCACAGCTTGAATCTGGTGGAAAGACAGGTGTTACCTGACTTTCTAAGCACTCTACAGAGTTCAATTAGTTCACAATATGGAATATTTGAATTTGGCCTTCTCTTGAAAACTCAGAGCATTATGGAGCACACCTCGCCACATGGAGGGTCTAGAGCAGACGTCCCCAAACTTTTTACACAGGGGGCCAGTTCACTGTCCCTCAGACTGTTAGAGGGCCGCCACATACTGTGCTCCTCTCACTGACCACCAATGAAAGAGGTGCCCCTTCTTGAAGTGCGGCAGGGGGCCGGATAAATGGCCTCAGGGGGCCGCATGTGGCCCGCGGGCCGTAGTTTGGGGGCGCCTGGTCTAGAGGAGCTGAGTGGCGGTGGCCTCTTCTGGGGAGCCACATACTCCTCACTGCTCCCCAACACTGTGGCTGGGTGTCAGCTGTCATTTATTAACTCACTCATGGGGTCTGTTCTTCTCAAGTAGAGGTACACATCCCAAGAGGGCTGTTTTAAGAAGGACAGGAGGGCGCAGCAGAAGCGGAGATTATTTCCATGCCTAGCATGCAGACAGAACGCTCCTGCACTGAGACCCCTCAGCCAGCCTGACTCGTTCACATGGCCTGCAGGGCCCAGTGGGCACTTCAATTCCTTGTTCCTACCTTTAAGAACCTCAGAAACATCCAGTGTTCAGCACACATGGCCTTTCCAGCAGCTCTCGGGTGGATTGCCAGTGGCCGGGGGCACTCAAACAAGCTCTCCAGTAAGGAGTGACACAAACACACTGCGATGCCCCGCGGGAGAAAGAACAGCTGCTGCCCGAAGCCATCTGCCACTGGGAGTGGCTATCTGGCCACATGCTGTCAGGGGATCCCATGACTGTCCTGCACTGCAGGACATGCTCATGAGGAACTGTGGCTGGAGTGTGAGAAAAAGGTCTCAAGTGCAAACATGGCAAATAAATCAAGCCAAGAGGGCAATGGGGACTGTGGCTCAGTTACCGATTCCACTGCAGGCGGGTTGAGCGTGTATGGGTAGGCTGTGCGCTATACAAGCCCTGCAGAGGCTTTGGCATGGGCAGCACAGACACCGTAGGTAGGGAAGTTTATGACAACCATGTTCCAGCAGACTGGAGTCAGGGTCTTGTGCCATCAATGCATTACAACAATTTCCTGACACATGAGAACCGGGTAGCTATCTCTAATTTACATGGAGTTGCTGTATAGTGGGAGCTCCAGAAAACAGGTTTAGCTCAGGTGGGCCACTTCGGCGGTATCTCGTAAGTTTCTGTCTACAAAGAACTCCTGGCTCTACGATAAATTCATTTCTCTACATAACTCAGTAAATGTAACACCTCCACTCCACTTAACACTACATTCACAGTTGAGAGTCTGGGAAACGTGCCTGCTGGGACAAATGGATTTTGCACAGACCTAAGAGTGTCAGTGCAGCCGCTGTGGCTGGCAGCTCCTGTCCTCGTTTCAAAGGGACATGAAGTGGTTGATGCTCTAGCCCAGGGACGCTCATGGGGTAAAGGAAGACACTGCCGGGTCTCCAGCATGGAGAACATGTTTAACCAAGCAGCAATTCAGAGCAGTCCACAGGACACATGACCCTTTTCTGGCTCCGAGAGCCTTGATTTCAGCACGAGGAATAACAGGAACAGTTCAAAGGCCACAGATGGTCCACTAAAGAGCCTCCAGGCTGCAGAGCACACCGCCTTGTGGTGGATTCCACAGGCTTCACACTTACCTCCAACATCCTGGACCGGCGGATGGTGATGTGAGTGACGTGCGGGGAGGCAGAGCTGGTTTCCACCAGCCCCAGTTTCTCCTTCTCCTTGGTAACCATGGTTCGAAAAAGGAGAACTCTCTAAAATGAACAAAGTGGGGACCAGAAAACAGTGTCAGCAACTGACGATTCTATAATACACCCTGCAAAAATGACTGAAACTGAGGTTAGATGAGATGCAAGCAGAATGGGATGCCTTAACATGTGCTTTCGGTCAGAAGTGTCTTGTGAGAACAGAAACATTCCCTGGAACATTTGTGGGAATTAGAAATATAGCTGAGTACATGTCAAGGAAGAAATGTTCCAAAAAGACCGAGTCCAGCTAGGAATGGACCATGAAAAAATCCTCCTCAAGGCTGGGCGTGGTGGCTCACACCTGTAATCCCAACACTTTGGATGGCTGAGGCGGGTGAATCACCTGAGGTCGGGAGTTCAAGACCAGCCTGGCCAATATGGTGAAACCCTGTCTCTACTAAATACAAAATACAAAAATTAGCTGGGTGTGGTGGCATGCTCCTGTAATCCTGGCTACTTGGGAGGCTGAGGCAGGAGAATTGCTTGAACTGAACCCAGTAGACAGAAGTTGCAGTGAGCCAAGATTCGCACCACTGCATGACAGAGCCAGACTCTGTCTCAAACCAAAAAAAAAAAAAAAAAAAAAAAAAGAAAATCAATAATCCACTATAACAACTTGGTGGCAGAACAAGTTAGAGAGGCTTCTTTATCTAGCTGTGCCTGCTTTAAAGGGTATCAATATTATGAATTCTAAGAACAAAAACAATTCAAAGATAACTTTTCCTAATGTCAGAAAATTTTAAAATGACCCTATAGTATAAAGCTCCCCGATCTTTCAGTCTGCCTCCTCTTTGCCTTCAAGCCCACCAGTCTCACCAGTAATATTTCTCAATTACTGCTTGAAAAGAACCCTCTTTCCTTATTCTTAAGATTCTGCTAAGCCCCTTCAGAAGAGCATGACTCTTTGCCTCATCCTGGGCTTGAAAATTAGCACCCTAATACCATTTAAATCAAGTCAGCTGAATGAATACGTAAATCCAACCATAGCTGTTTTTTAAAAAATGGGAATCTCCCCCAAAGTCAAGAGCTTTATTAAATACAAGAACAGTAACAACCTTCATAATAGTAACGACAATAGAAAATAACTATATCGGGGGGCTAGCACATTTTCATTTAATTATGTTAATTCTATTAGGCAAACATGGTTGTAACAAAAAAAGCAACGACCAACAGCCCCTTAAGAAGAAAGGGAATGGTACTCAGTGAAGCATCTCAGTGAGACTGGATGATGGTCTAGACCTAACAGGACTGACTTGCTGAGTAGAACCAAAAGTGCTGAGAGGGTCCCAGACCATGCGGAAGGGAGGGAACAGCCTGGGGACACAGGGAGGGAGGCTGGCAAGACGGACAAAGGGTGCTCCTGCCTCGCCCCTCCAGTGGCAGGGGAACTGTAGGACTTTTGACAGCAGGTGTTTAAGTCATGTGGAGCCGTGTAGTATGTGACACAACTACTTCCTATGACCCTCAATCTTTGGCATGACCACCTGAAGGGATGCTGTTTGGTGATACACAGGTGGAACGTGAGTTGCATCTGGGTCAATCTGGTATGAGGCGGAGATCGCAGGAGGCACCAAAAGCGTACTAAAGAGACAGAAGTGATCACAGAAAGCCTGGAAAGGGCTCTGGATTTCTACGCGGTATGGAAGAAGGTCTGAGGCAAACTTATCCGGGCTGCAAGGGCTGGGCAACCTCAGCGACTGCAGTGGATAGCTAGGTATGGATCATTAACCCTCTTCTGCGGATGAAGACCTTACTCATCCAAGGCTACACAGCTGGCGGGCAGCGGGCTGGAATGAAATCCGAAGCCCACACACAGACCTCATACTACACAGCTCCTGCCCTACCACACACCACTTAGGACTTCTGGGTGGAAACGAAAGGCAGAGAGGCCTTAAGGGCCAGCCAGGGGATGAGCCACACATAAACAGGTGAAACAATGTAAGAGGGTGCAGAAAATGAAGTGCTGTGTGTGTCAGCCAGGCAGAGCTGAGGGTCCAAGAAATGTTAAGGAAAACAAGAAAGGCATTACAGTGAAACTGAGAACAAGGAAGAGGTTCATCATTTAGGGGAGATGGCATAATGGTAACAGCAGAGAGAGCTTGTTACCCTCCTGTGCGTTCCAGCAAGAATATTTCAACGGCAGAAGGCAGCACACACACCATTAAGAGGAGCTTGAAGCCTGAGATGGGGGGAAGGAACAGGACAGCCTGGCTGCTCTGAACACACAAAGCCTTAGATACTCCCCAGGACCTGCAATCACAGAGCAGAAGGGTCAGGAGATGAGGAGGGCCCCAACCTGAGAGAGGAAATTTTATGAACTAAGGATAAACCACACTGATGACAATCATAAGCAAAATTCCCAAAAGAAAAAAAAAATTGTGAGGATTAGCATATACCCTGGACTTAAAAGTCATTCCAATTTATCTCAGTGGTTCCCAAACTTTCTTATTCACGGTACCTCTATCATCGCAGTAACTTTTTTCATGCACACCCAGGGCAAAAGAAATCCCTAGCAATCCTGTTTACTAGGTAGTTGGGTCCCAAATATTTATGTCCAGAAACTTAGTTGCTGTATTTTGCAAATGCACATACTTTGAAGTATAAAATACTTTCATTTCGTTCTTAAAAGCCAGCTTTGCAAACATCATTAAAAAGAACGTAGTACAATCTCATGTTGAAACCATGAACTACCCTGTTCATGTGGTGCCTCTCATTGTTTCCCTTGAAAATCTAAAATATCGTGCAGCACCTCCAGTGGCCACGGCGCATGTGAATCACAATACACACAGTGGAGAGTCTAGACCATGTGCTCTGGGAATGCTAAGGTCAGGCTGATTTCACAGACACATGGGTCCAGGATGAGGGGCCGCATTTTCAACCAGACACCACCAAACCAGATGAGGCTCCAGAGATGAAGGCTGGAGCCTATATCAAACAAAGACGAGGTGGAGAGGCTAAGGATAATACACCTGGAAAACACAGACTCAGATGCGAACAGGAGCTGCCAGCGGGTCACAGAAGCTAAGAGAAGTCACTTTTAGGGGTTGTTCAAGAACCAAAGGGTAGAAGTTACAGAGAAGCACAGTTCATGATGAGGAAGAATGTTCTATCTTTTGGAAAAGTAAAGCCACAGAATGGCCTGCGTTTCAAAGCTGTGTATGTTCTATTAGAAGCAAGGTCAGGGACGTCATAGCAGGGGCTCCCTTTGAGGAGGGCACATTTGATTAAGTAATTGCCATAAGGCCCTTCACTTCTGAGAGTTTGCCAAGTACAGTATGAATTTAAACAGCCATATCATTTGCATATCACCGCTTGAGGGAAAAGAATAGTTACCGTAAGTATTTAAGTCAAGGACAGAACAGTATCAGAGAACAGTGAGGATGAAATATCTCTGAAAAGTGAGATTTACAAAAATGTGATTTACACTCTTTTCTAAAAATATGTCTACTTCTTTAAAAAAAGAAAAAGAAAATAGAACACAAGAAAAATAAAGGACACAACCTAGACTCCTAGAAGTCTCTTCTGAGGAGCAGAGGGTTGTCACAGCCCTGTACATTTCCAGAGTGCCTGAAACTCACCAGGGACAGACGTGAGCCATGCTTACCACCCTCATATCCTGGATGCTCTTGACACAGCCTGACCCTCCCCAAATCTCTCTCATCCCCTGAGTGTGCGGCACTCTCCTGGTTTCCCTCCTGCTGGCCCTCTGTGGGATGGGTCCTGCAGGGTTCTGTCTCAGTGGCCTGGACTTCTCACTCTGTCTGAGCCCCTGACTGCCTCACCCAGTCCATGGTGGCAGTCAAGAGATTTGGGTACTCTCCCCACACAGGCTCCTCCCTCCTGAACGCCAGACCCCCCCTGTCCAGTGGCTTCCAGGAGCCACAGACACCTCACATCCTATATGCTTCATGCTGAACTCGCCACCATGTCCCAGTCCTGCTCTTACCTGTGCTTTTACCACAGGAAACAACCCCCCAAGCACCCAAGCCAGACATCTCAGCATCACCTGAATTCCTCCTTTCCTTACCGTTACCTCGGGATGTGACCATTCTCCGAGGCCTCCTTAAAAATCTGTTGACTCCGTCATTTTTCGACTCCCAGGGCCCACTCTAGAGCAGGGCAGCTTGCTTTAACACCCCCGCCTCTAGCCAACCCTCCACACTGCAGCCAGGGTGACCTTCCTAAAGGATGGCTCTGACCAGGTGCCTCCTAAGCTTCCAGCCCTCCGGTGGCTTTCCATAAAGTCCCCGCTTCCAGCCCGGGTTTCTTTTTTTTTTTTTTTGAGACGGAGTTTCGCTCTTGTTACCCAGGCTGGAGTGCAATGGCGCGATCTCAGCTCACCACAACCTCCGCTTCCTGGTTCAGGCAATTCTCCTGCCTCAGCCTCCTGAATAGCTGGGATTACAGGCACGCGCCACCATGCCCAGCTAATTTTTTGTATTTTTAGTAGAGAAGGGGTTTCACTATGTTGACCAGGATGGTCTCGATCTCTTGACCTCCTGATCCACCCGCCTCGGCCTCCCAAAGTGCTGAGATTACAGGCTTGAGCCACCACGCCCGGCCCCAGCCTGGGTTTCTAAGGCCCTCCCGCTCTAGCTCCCACCACCCTCCTCAACTTCCTCTCTGGACCACATCCTTTCTATTCTCTGCAGCCAGACTGCGTGTTTGGCTCTCCAACAGCACCTCGTCCTATCTCACTCAGCGTTTAAACACCGTCCACTTTTGCCTGTGGGACCCTTTCCTATACCCTTCCCCTCCCTCCAGCTGGTCAGATCCCTGAACCTGGGCTGCCACTCCACCAGAATCACCAGTTCGCACCGTCTTCTCCAGCTCTGTACCCCAGCACTTAGTGTAACCCCTGCCACAGAGCAATAGCAACCACTGTTCCCATGTACCGAATGAATGGTCCTACTTAGTCACCTCCAACTGCACAGCAAGGATGGAAAGGCAGGAACCACATGGGGGAACAGAAAGACACATTAGGAGCCCAGCTCTGAATGCAACTCACGTTTTTGTGAGGAATGACATGTGGGATGTATTGCAGGACCAACTGTGCCCGTTTTCTGTCCCTGTCGAGTTCTTGGAAGAGCACACTAGGTTTGAGATCCCTTGAGAAGAAAGACATGGGTTTGGGAGAATTAAAAGAAGGAAACCATCCTCTAGTGTGAGGCTGGGCAACAACACCATGTGGGCCACATGCAGCCTGCTGCCTGTTTCTGAAGAGTGATGGGAAGGCGTCCGTACTCATTCATACATGTATAGCCTACAGCTGCTTTTGTGCTACAAGAGCAGAGCTGAGTAGCTACAACAGAGACTGTCTGGTTCACAAAGACTAACAGCATCTGGCCCTTTACAGAGAAAGGGTGCCAGTCCCTGTTCTAGTGCCACAGCTTTGGCAATTGCATAAAGCTTGAGCTCACTGATAAAAACGCAGACACGTGCCTATGTTCACTCATGATGGGAGGATTTCCCCCAGCCTATTCCCCTCCAAAACACTGAAAAGTAGTTTTTACCCTGGTAATTCTGCTGATAAAAACTGCCTTTTAACTCTCATGCTCTGTTGCTCAGCTCAGCTGAAAGACCTCTTTCCAGTCTGGATGAGAAATATATGTTAAATATAAGCTGGCTCTGTCACCATTAATTAACTCTAGTCATATTTGATGTAAATATCTCTTAACAGAAGCGTCCTGACAGGTGCTTCATAGGGACAGCAGCTCTCTTTACACACATGGACAGACAAAATACGGCAGGGGGAAAAAGTCCTCTCTGTCCTAGAACGTGAGCGCTGAGCACTGGGCAGCGTGCCAGAGCAGGCTGGCTTCCATGGAGCCCTCCTCACCCCCGGAGCTCACTTTCGCAGCCAGTGGTCCTCAGGGGCAAAACGCCGCCGGCAGTCTCGCTCATACAGCACCATCAGCCACCCGTGGACGGACTGGAACAGCTCCAAGGTCTCGCCCTTGGCGTTCTCTGTGGGCAAACAAATGGGAAAGTCACACTCACAGAGGAAGAGTCAGAGCCAGAGAGCAGGGAGAGGACAGCTCTCGTCTTCTGCAGTCATCATCAAGTCCTTGATCTCCCTTGCTCTGAATCAGATATGGAACCAAAGGAATTAAAAGGCACCCTGGGTACGTGCTAAGTGTCTGCAGGGCCTGAGTGCCTCTCAGACAAAATCACTCATGCTGCCTCCCACTAGTGTGTCATCCGAAGGGCCTTTTTAGTCTAAGGAGCTTTGTCCTGAACAATTGGAGACATCTCAGGTGTGAACTGGCACATGTTTTATCTTCATGGAAATCAACTGGAAGAATCAACAGGGGATTCAGGGCAAAATTAATCATCATTAATAATCCTTGACACATACATGCAAATCCTGAAGGAAGCCTGGGAGAGCAAGACTTCTATAACCATACCACTATCTTAAGAGGTCACAAACAGAGAGTGAAGAAAGAAAACTTCCAATTATGGGAAGAAATGTGCACCTTCTATTAACTTGGATAGACAACAGAACTAAGAATCAGTTGATGCTATAGACTCTTCGGCCTCCCTGAGTGTGGCATCGACTGAAAAACAGCAGACACCTTTTATCTTACCTACAATTCCATCCCAGATCATCTTAAACACGAAAGAATTCAAGAAAGAGGAGATGGTGACCAGCTCTTCCAATTTGAATGAAATCTGTTCTTCGTAAACTTCAATGTCATCAAGGATCCTAAATCAGAGAGAAAATTACTCAGAATTCCACACTGAAGAAAGGGGAAGAGAAAAAAAGAGAGATCTGTATTGCTTAATGGACAAAATAAACAAGGTTGAGAAATAAGCTTTATCTTTTAGAGATACTTACTGTAAAATCTACAGAAAAAAACGATATCATATCATCAGGGGGTGGGGGGAAATGGGAAAGAGCACCTTAGGACAAAAACCTAATGCATGCGGAGTTTAAACCTAGATGACCAGGTGACAGGTGCAGCAAACTACCATGGCACATGTATACCTATGCAAGTTCAGCACATGTATCCCTGAACTTAAAGTAAAATAAAATAAAGAGAAAATGATATGACATCTAGGATTTGCTTCAAAATAATGTGGGAGAGAAGAGCAGGTGGGCGTCTGGATGAAGCAAAACTGGCTGTGAGTTGGTACTGTTGAAGCTGACAATGGGCACATAAGGGTTCATTATATTATTCTTTCTACTTTGCATTAATGTGAAATTGACCATAGTAAAAAATTAAAAAATATAATTAAGAAAAAATCTGTACTCTTTATTTTTCTTATTCATAAGGATCTGACTGTGTCACTTTCTTAATTCACACCTGAATTTACGCCTTCCTTATTCATGCCTGACTATCAGGGAACCTTGACTGAGAGTTGGTGTTTACTGAGGAAAGCTGTCAAATCTTATTCCATATCTAAGACAGATACTAGTGACACTCAGTAGGTACTTGGTGAGCATTTGTGAGTAAATGAATAAATGTCTGAAAGACTATATGAATAAATCAACCATTTAAGAATCTTATTCCATATCTAAGACAGATACTAGTTATACTTAGCAGGTACTTGGTAAGCATTTGTGAGTAAATAAGTAAATGTTTAAACGAATATATGAATAACGAATCATTTAAGACATAGCTCTATCTGAACACTTCCTAACGTTGCTCCACAGCTAGAATAAGATTCACTCTTGGTTTACCCCTTATCCAGTGATTAAGGAAGACTTCACTTGCACTAGACCCCTGCTCTTGCCTCCAACTGCTCAGTGAGTTCCTCCATGATGCTCACCCAACCTCCAACCTACATGTCCCTGTTCCTCTCCTGATAACGTCTTCCATCCTGAACACAATTACCTGAGGTCCATTCTATCCTACAATTCTTCACCAACCTTCTGGGAAAAGGTGGAATGAAAAGAATAACAAACATACAAGGAGATGCACAAGCTTAAAAAATAAAAGAATGAAATGGGACTAGCATTTGTTAATCTCCCACTCTGTGCCAGGCATCGAATTAAGTATTTGATGCACTTTTCTTTCTCACATACCCTCTATTGGATTGGAATATTCTCTCTACTCTAATAAGGAAACAGACTCAAAGACGTTAAGAAACTTGCTCAAGGTTGGCTTGGTAATAATAAGAGCCAACAAGTATTGAACTCATCCTATGTGCCAGGGACGGTGCTAAGTACTTTAGATTAATTATCTCTTTTAATCCCTACCATGTGCCTAAAAGGTAAGTGCTATTGTTATTCCCATTTACAGATGAGTCAACTGAGTCTCAGAGAGGTTGGATATTTGATCCCTTGCTCAGGGTTTCTCGAGACCTGCTCGGCAAGGATCTGTATCCCGGCTCTCTGACACTGAATTTTCTAGGAATCTAGCCGGCACAGTGAATAAATAGCTCAGCCATGATCTAAACCCATCTCTGGGAGACCCCCAAGCCACACCCGGTGGTACTGACCAGCTTCCCTGAAAGGACAGGAACTACAGCCATGATCTAAACCCATCTCTGGGAGACCCCCCAAGCCACACCCGGTGGTACTGACCAGCTTCCCTGAAAGGACGGGAACTTTTAACTCCCAGGACCCCACCCTAAAAACTGCTGAATGTTTACTGCACGCTGCTTACTTGGTAAATGCCTAGTTCTTACGATGGCCTCCCACACAGGTCCTAATGTTTGCAGTAATCACATTAGCAATGACTTCCTCACTGACACTGTATTTGGTCTCTCCATATCCTAGGAAAGGAATTCAGTCCCACAGCAGTCAACGTACGTGATGAGGTGCCGCGAACAGTCACAGAACAGCATCAGCATGGATAAGAGTTGCTTGGATTCTGCAGTGTCATTGTTCAGGCATTCCAAGAAGAGCTTTAACCCTCCGTGGGGCCCGAGCTCACAGATAAACGCCCACAGTTTGGGCAGCAGGTCATCAAGGTAAGTGAGACCTGGAAAAAAGACAGAGAAACCCAATCTTCAGGTTGGGACTCCACCTGGTCTGTTATTTCTCCTACCCAGTAGGAAAACAAAACACTAAACCTATTCATGAACATGCAATGTGTGTGAGAAGGTGGGATTACTGAGAAAAGCATTATCACCACGAGAGTAACAATGGTAACAGTCAGTAGTTAGTGGGTGCTGACTATGTGCCAGGCACCATTCTCTGTATGTACTGTTTGCTTTCCACTTTCAGGAGCCCCATATTGTCCCCATCTTATACAGGAGGAAACTGAAGCGGACAACTTAATAATTGGCCCCAAATCACACAGCCTATGTGTCAGAGCCAAGAACAGAACTCAGGTCTGACTTAGCACTTATGCTTAAATCAGGGATCAGCGATTTGTTTCGGAAAACAGTCGAAGAGTAAATATTTTAGGCACTGTGCGCCAGAAAGTCTCTGCTGTTGAATTAAATCTAGCTGAGTTTCAGCAAAAAACAATCAATCAGGCAGGCCTCGGAAGCAGAAGAGGTTCAGACAGCTCCAGTCCGTATTCTGGGCAGGCAACACTTAGGGCCAAAACCAAAGTGAGATACAGAGACAGCTTGATTGGTTACATCTCGGCTTTGCCTTACTTGAAAATGGTCTGACTAGATGGCTGCCTGTGACTGACTGAAGCTTGGCTGCTGTGATTGGCAGCTATTTGTTGAAATCTCCTAAATCAGACTTCTAGTCAGTTTACATACTAAGCTGGGCTGCAGTTCCTTACCTAAGGACGCAAATATGGAGGCATCCTCAGGCCAAATTTAGTTTAACACTGTTACAACTACTCAGTGCTACCACTACAGCACAAAAGTGGCCACAGACAATGTATAAAGAAACAGATTCAGCTCTGTTCTAACAAAAGCAAGTAGTGGGCTGGATTTGGCCCCCACATGGTAGTCTGCTGACCCCTGCCTTAAACCATCTTGCAGGTTCACCACCTTTGGCAAAGCTTCCTCCCATCTACCTCTATTATTCTACTTATGTTGAAAGTGGAAATAAAGTTGAATGACTGTGGTAGGATGCTCTGAAATACACAAAAAACGGAACCCTGAGGAAGCAAAAGGGAACACAGAGGGCATTCTAAGTTTGCTTCCTATGGCTACAAGACCTCAGACACACGGGCCGCACCACCGGTAGAGTTAACGTATGATAATGCAGCTACTGACTTGGAAAGGCTGGATCTGAAATGCCATGTGTCACTGAATACACAGTAAGGTGTGTTCCTCAGAAAAGCAAAGTCACCTTGTATTTGAGCCCTTATAATACCGCTCATCCTATAGGGCACTCTCTGAATTATTTAGTTTTGAATAAAGAACTGTTTGGGGAAGGTGTATTAGCCAGGGGTGGGAGTTGGGGAATTCCATCAGTGCTAGTGAAGGATGCTTAGAGGGTGAACTGAAGGAATTCTAAAGGAGGCCAAGAATTGTATCCATTGAGTGATTATGGCTCGAGGTTAGACGTCACATTTTCTAGGGTAGGAGGATGTGGTTATAAAGAAGCCTTTAAGAAGCAAGACTTTCTTGATCTGTTGGTGATGACATAGGTGCCTCCTTATGACTAGTCTTTCAACTGCCTATGTTTTATCAAACACACCCAAGAATGTGAAAATCTCACAACTCAAAAACAGGTTAAAAAAGAAACAGAGGAAATAGTTACACTGTGGAGATCACAAACATAGTCCTATAGGTCAAAGAAAGAAAGCAAGTGTCCTCGAGTTCTGTGCAAAGGATTCATGCAGCGTAGCCCAGAATGCTCATAGCATCACACTGATTCAACAGGGGCTGCACATCAAGCCACTTAGACAGAGATGGAGACGCTGGGCCTGACACCAATAGCAGACAGACCAGCAGCGGCGCCAGGGCTGCCAGATGCGTGTGAGGAGCACGAACAGACACTTCCTAAGTTGTGAGTAGAAAAACAGCAGTATTTTAAAAACAAGTGTTATTTCCTATAATCTAATTTAAGATGCATAGTAATAAACAAATAGACTGAATATCAAATATGTACTTTAGACTAGCTTATCTTCATCCTTAAAGTGTGTATTTTCAAGTTGACTAAAAAATCTGTATTTGGATTCTCTCACTTGGGAAAATAAGCTTCAGCGTGAGCTCATTTAACAAGCTGGACACAAACCACGACCTCAAATCCTCTCACTCAAGATAGGCGCTGGGGTGCCCCAGGTATGGTATTGCCCCAGGTATAGTCTCTCCTTCCCCTGTTCATCTTTGGGAAACCTGCCCGTGGCTGTAAGCCCTCGGCTGAGGGCTCCCGGAGTGTCACCTCTGCCAGCATGCCCAGCAGGCCCCTTTCCCTTGTCACTGCCACAACACAACAGACTCCCCCACAACAGGCCCTGGTCTTCCTCAGCTCAGTGAACAGCACTACCATCCACACAGGTGGTTGGGCCAACAAGCTGGTATCTTCTTTAAAATCTTTAGTCCTCATGCTCACAAATCCAACCTACCAGTAAGAACCATAGCTTCTACCTCTAAAACAAATCTAAATCCTCCTGCCTTTATCTCCATTGCTACTACACTAGGCCAGTGGCTTTCAACCAGGAATGATTTTGCCTCCCAGGGGGCATTTGGCTGAATGCCAAATTTGAAGAAATGTTTGGCTGTCACAGCTCGATGGGAAGGTACTACTGGCAACTATGAGTAGGGACCAGGGCTGCTAAACACCCCAAACACACAAAACAGCCCCTCATGACAAAGAATGGGCCAGCCCAAGACATCCATAATGCTGAGGCTGAGAAATCCTGCTGTAGCCCAAGCCAACATTGTGTCTCAGCATTTTCATTTTCACAGTGCCTGTCACTATATGAAACCTCCTTTTCACTTGCTTATTTTTGGTCTTCCCACTACTAAAATACAATCTCCTCGAGAACGAAGAACTTGGCTGTCTCGTTCACCTCTGTAATCTCAATGCCTGGCACACAGGGGTGCTCTATAAACATTTGCAGAATGGATAAACAAGTGTGAAAGAGAAGCAGTGATTTATGATTTTAAAAAACGTAAAATGCAGCAGAGAAGTTGTTAATCCTTCATGTAATAAAAGGCTTTTACGGTTTACAAAGGCCTTTTGTACTTATAAGACCAATTCATAACAACAATTGTTGTTATGACCATGTTATAACACAGAGCAGACTTTCCTCCATGTTAAGCTAAAAAGGAAAATGTTTGGCATATCCATGTGATGAGATACTATGCATCCATTAAAAATGAGGTACTTGTGACACGGTAAAGTGATTACTGGAAAGGGAAGCATAGTGCTACATATTTTGATTTAAATATATTTTATATGTGCAGTACACTCAGGCACAGTTTGGATTGTGGAATTAGAAGTGGTTTTCTTTTTTTTGGCAACCCTATCTTTTTTGTTTCTTTACTCAGAAAACATAATTTTTTTTTAAACAAATAGCTCTGGGCATGGAAAAACTTTTTAAAAGTAAATTGTACTTCATAATTAAAGTAAGAGTCACAAAACAGGAATGAAATGGAAGTGCTATGATTGAGGTTAGCATGAGCAATTTAGCTGAGGTGTACCAACCTCTAAGAGGAACAGCTCAAAAACACTCTCCTTCAGAATCTATTTTCTGAGTCAAAGAAGCCAGAAAAAAACATCGACTTTTGTTAAGACAAACTGCCTGCCAGATGCGAGAGGTGAAGAGGCTTCCTTGGGGACTGCGAACCTGTGAGTATCTGCAGCCGGATCTGTGTGAGAGTCGTCAGCGAAGTCTGGTAGAGGACACAGATGTTGCACACCTTCTGGACTTCTGCAGAATCGACCCGTTTACCCCCGACAGGCCTGAGAATATTCCGCACTGATGCCGACTTTTGAAAAGCACGCTTTAGGAGACCTGGCACGGAGAAAAGAAGAAATGTAAGCAGAAGCTCAGCCATCTGCCAAACTCCACCATGGAAAAGGAAGAGCATTTCAATAAAGCTCTAAATGTACAGCCAGGGCCAGACAGTGGGGCAATTCATGCAATTCGTTTTTTTGGGATAATTTAGAAAAACATTAACAATAGGTTTTGAGGTACAACCCTTCAGAATATCCAAAAATTTCTCAGAATAAGCCAGATATATTCAAATCTTACATGGGATTTTTATACCAAAAAATCACCAAATTTCAAAACCCACAAAGGTAAAAATTCAGAGGCCTGTATTAGGGGAAGAGGGGCAAAGGCAGGGACTCTGGCTGCATCTCCATTTTCAGAGCCTTTAGAGCAGGCGTCCCCAAACTACCGCCTGCGGGCCACATGTGGCCCCCCGAAGCCATTTATCCGCCCCCCTGCCGCACTTCAGGAAGGGGCACCTCTTTCACTGGTGGTCAGTGAGAGGAGCACAATATGTGGCGGCCCGCCAACAGTCTGAGGGACAGTGAACTGGCCCCCTGTGTCAAAAGTTTGGGGACGCCTGCTTTAGAGGGAAGTAAAGCGTGATAACCTCTCGTTGTGACACCTGGTTTTGAATGACACTCCACCTGTTTTCAACCTTCCCATTGATATCCTGCTGGAGTTACATTTGCTGAGCCCATGCTCACTGCTAGTTACGAGACACTGAGTAGCAGAATAGACATCCTGAACCTAAAAACCTGCCACAGGCAGATAACACTGTCAAATTGTGTGTTAGTGGTGTTTCCATACTTTTTATCAGTGTGCAATAAGAACCCATTACTAACCCTGCAATAGGAAAGCCACTAAAAGGGCTACCCCTGCCTGTGGTTCAGTGAGTGGCTCCTTTACGAGGAATCCACATGGGAGATTTATTTTCTCAAGAACTCAGAAAAACTCTACTTCTAAGAATTAGAAGAAAGCATCTACAGATCCCTTTTCATGTTGGTTTCTGAAATTTCACAGGGAGCCACAGTGGCCCTAATGGAACATATACGTGTGGATATGCTTTTATGACCCAATCTTGATTTTGTTCACCTACTTCTACATACCCAGTCCTCGTTTTCTATTCCTATGGATCTTCTGTTGTGCTATATATGAACTTAGTAACCTAAGAAGCCTCAAAATTGTTGTGGAACAAGCTAGAGGCCAGGTGTGGCAGCTCACGTATGTCAAGCCAGCACTCTGGGAGGCTCAGGTAGGAGGATCGCTTGAGGTTAGGAATTTGAGACAAATTTGGGCAACATGGTAAGGCCATCTCTACAAAAATTAAAAAGAAAAAAAACTAGCCAGGCATGGCAGTGCCCGCCTATAATAGCTGTAGTCCCAGCTATTATACTTGGGAGGCTGATGCAGGAGGATCACCTGAGCCTAGGAGTTGGAGGCTGTAGTGAGCTATGATCCTGCCCCTGCATTATAGCCTGGGCAACAGAGTGAGATCCTGTCTCTAACAATAAGAATTACAACAACAAAAACAAAGTTAGAGCATCCCACAAACAGAGCAGACATCCACACAGGAAGAATTAGGAGCTGTACTTCAGCCAAGCAGAGCTACAGGGTCAGGCCTGCTCCTGCCACTCACTCTTCACTGGGAGCACATTCTGCGGGGATGCTGGCTGCATGTGGGCTGGCTCCTGGCTCTCCAGCAGCTTCTTGCTCAGGATGTCACAGAAGAAGATCCGGATCAGCGGGACCCCCCACAGGAACTGCAGCTGTTTGGTGATCAAGTGCATTGACTCATTAAGGCTATGAGAGAGCAGAGGAGACCGGGTCTGTCAGTTCCATCTGATGCAGGGCCAGGGCCAGCCCACACAGCTCCTAATAGCCTTCCGCTAGGAGCTGTAACTAGGACCCGGCACTCAACACGGCAAAGATTACAAAAATAAAAAGCGGAACTAACAAATCATTGCTGAGGGTCTGGTTTGTTGAGGGCACCGACTCTTCATCTTGTCTGCTTTCCCCAGGTCCCCAGGCTCCATGAGTCACACTCTTCTTGAAGACACTTGCTACCACCCAGTTGACAAAAACAACCTTGTACCTGCTGCCCTGCTCCCCACGCACAGCTGGCCTGCAAGTGGTGGGGGCCAAATCTAGATGATGCGGCAGCCTCCTCAGTGTTTCCCTGTCTTCCAGGGCTTCCTTGCCAGACTCCATACTGCACTCAGCACCCCTCAAATTCCTGGAATCTGCTGTCACCTTCCTGCTCAAGAAGGTGAGGTGACACCTCTACTGGTTCCCACACTCATCACCATATTGTTAATAGCCACCACTCCTGAGCACGGCCAGGCCTGCTGGTAGGTGCTTTACATGCATTATCTGATTCAATCCTTCCAGAAAGGCCTATCAAAGGGTCTTCGAAAGTTATCCCCACATTTCAGATGTGGAAAGCGAGGTAAAGCAAGTCATCCAAGTCCCTCCAAGAAGAGGAAGTGGAGTGGAGAGCAGGCTGCCCATGAAGGTGCTGCTCCGCCTCACTCATCTCCCACAGCCTCCCGACTCTCAGCCCCTCCGCCCCATCTTCTTCAGGCTGAGGTGCCACACTGGGGCAGGCTATTCCCTAGCAATGAGTCTTTTTAACTAGACAGGACCCAGGGATGTCACTCAGGTACAAAAAAACGGCAAATTTGGGCATTTCCTTCCTTGGCCTTTAGTTTTCTGCTGCAAGGTAACTGCCAGGGAAACCATGCCTTAGGCAGATTTGTGAACAAGAAAACGGCTGGGCAGCAGAGCCAGTTCCTGTCTGAAAACCACTTTATCTCAGCTCAGGTACATGTTTCAAATTCGTGAAGCTGTGCCTTACTTGCTATCTCTTCTTCTAGTTGAGTGTTTCTCATGTTTTTAAGTTCTTAAACTTTTTAAAATTTATATTCCACCTTTTGAAAAGGATTTTAAGTGATTTCTATTCCCTTTAAATCATTTGTCTTGTTTTAGCACCTCCAAAACATGGTGGGCTACTCAAGCAATAAAAGTGACAGCGAAGAAGAAAAAACATTGATAGATAAGGTTCATAACTGAACGGAAGAAACAAAATACAAAACAATATTATTTCAATTTTGCAAAAAACGAGTAGCATATCTAGACAGGAAGACTGAAAGGATGTTCAGTCAAGTTTTATTTGGTTTATAGGATCATGGGCTGGTTTTTATCTGCTTTTGTTCTTCCTCACACTTTATTAATACATAACGAATACATACTATATTTTTGTAATAAGAAACAAAACACCACAAACTGGAAGAAAAAGATGGTGGGAGAGAGGCAGAAAAGACAGTGATTTGCATCTGGGACTCACCCATAGTCCACAGATTGAGAGAACCAGCCAAGGACAGGATGCCAGTGGGTCAGGTTGGACTTCTTCTGGGACACGTACTTCTGACAGTAGCACAGCATCTGGGTAAGCAAACTCACGAACCCATCCGTCTCCTCCTCTAACACCCTGGGGCTGAGAGAGCCCAACTGTAGGAGGTTGCCTACAGAGAGAGAAGGCTGAGTATGATGGGCTCAGACGGACACTTTGACACTTTGGTGCCTCCTGGCCCTGCTCCCTGCCTGTGGCTCAGGCAGCCACACCCCATGTGCAGGAAGAAATTTCCACATAAGGGGCACCTGTCAGTGCCACAGGCTGCTGTGTGGTGCAAAGGTAATAAACAGGTTGAGCTGACTTCAAATCCCGGCTCTGCCACAGACAAGGTGTACTATGGCCATCAACCCATGTCTCAAACGTGTTTCTTCATTTGGAAGATTGGAATGATTCCCACTCTCCATATGAGGTACACAAGGCACACAGAGGTAAGTGATTAAGAGGTAGTTAGTATTACATGTTAATATTATATTACTGCTTAAAAATCACAGGTCAACATAAGAAATAACCTTTGAAGAATATCTGAATGTCCTAGGAAATCACTGTTATTCAGTGTTTACCAGTTATCTAATATCACTCATGTGAAGGCTCGTACCACGAAATCCTCATGAAATTAAGCCCCAGAGACCTTTTTTTCTCATGCCTATAATCCCACACTTTGAGAGGCTAAGGTATGTAGATTGCTCAAGCCCAGGAGTCCGAGACTAGTCTGGACAACGTGGTGAAACCCTGTCTCCACTAAAAATACAAAAATTAGGTGGCCATGGTAGCGTGTGCTTGTAGTCTCTGCTACTCAGGAGGCTGAGGTGGGACAATCACCCAAGCCCAGGAGGCTGAAGATACAGTGAGACATGATGATGCCACTGCAGTCCAGCCTGGGTGACACAGTGAGACCCTGCCTTCCAAAAAAAAAAAAAAAAAGAACTTTTTCTATCTAAAATTTGACAAAGAGAATTCTGTGCCTCTGCTGTTTTCAAATGCTTTTATTCACAAACCCTTTCTTCCATCTATAATGAAAACACTGTAAAACAGATGCTACTCTGATATAAGCCCCACCTAACTACTCCCTCTCTTCCCCTTGAGATGAGAATTATCCAGGCAACTCACCACATTTTCACTTTCTCCTTGACTGCCAGGAAGCTAAAGACTGACATCTAATGTTCATTAATAGTCTCTTAACTAGCTTGCCAGGCTGGTATATTTTCCATGTGAGTTTAATTGACATGTCTATTTTAAATGTCTACCTAAATATGTGTTTTTTATTGTAAGCACTTCCAATTGTTACAATAAACAACTAAATCTCTAGAATAGTGACAGGCAAAACATGTGTGCTTTCCTGATGGCCAGGATACAGTCAAATTCCAGCCAAGGATACTCACCCATTAGACAAAGCGTATGGCATCCTTCTAAACTTTCACATACATCACGGCATCGATCTTCGTCTCTTAAAAATATGATGAATTTACGAAGCATGTCATGGGATTCTAAAACAGTGAGGCGCTGCAAACAATGGCAGACTGTTAAACCAGCAACTGCCAGGAAGTTTCCTGCTAGAGAGTGAACTTGATCACTTGCAGATCACCCCTGCTTATGCGGAATGTGCTGGCAAATACCAAGAAGAAAATGGACACAGACGAGAACCCGCTTCTTTGGGATGCTAACACAAGTGTGTCTATCATGGCCACTGGTCCCGAAGAACAATTTAAAGGGAGGTGTGGAAGCACCTAAGCGGATAAGCCATTTTACTTTCTAATGACTAAGAAGAAAAGCAAAAACGGAATTGGGTTTTCGGGGGGAACTCACAGAGCCTGCTTACCTCAGGGGTCACTGTGCTGAGATGAGTCACCAGAGCAGGCACAGACATGATGTGGATGAGGAACGGCCGAATCAGATTGTCTGAGAATTGTGCAGCAATCACAGGGCTAGACATAGACAGATCCACTCATTCAGACAGGTCTCCGTGTGCATCCAGAACAAAAGGACAACCCCACCAACATGCTCAAATCCTAGAAATTATGCTTCATGGGATTTCTGGAAAAACTGAAGGCTGAAACTGGGGACAAACACTAGGGAAATGGGTACATCAGTGACGGTACAGTCGCTCATGCCATACTGTCCAGCTATGAAAAATCAATTTTTGAAATTTTACTGACATGAGAGAATGCTCATGCTATAATGAACTTTTAAAAAAGGCAGAATGAGAAACTATATACATGGAGGAGGAAGGAGTTTGTGATGGGGAGGGAGGGAAAAAAGGGGTTTTTGGAGTGCTGGTATAATCAATTTCTCTATTTGGTGGGGCTAACCCAGGTGTGTTCACTGTGATACTTCGCCAATAATACTTCAGTTAAGCAACTTATTTAAAAGTATATATGCACTATAGATACATAATATATACATGTCATGTACTTATACACATATGTATATACGTATATCATGTCTATATACATATATAAATATATAAGTATAATGTTTGAAAATATAAGCACAAATATAAATATATTTTTAAAAGACTGAGGCAACGGATTAAAGTTAACAATTTATCTCTGCTTGTACAATCAAGAAAAATTTTTTCTTTCATTTTTCTGCTTTATCTAGGTTTTCTACAATAAGCATGTATTGCTTCCATAACCAAAAAAAGATAAATACTATTAAATAAGATAATGACCCCAACCCACACCATATATAAAAAGTAATGAAACGAGCCACAGACCTAAACACTAGTTTTATAACTAAAACTATAAAATTCTTAGAATAAAACATAGGAGCAAAGTTTTGAGACTTCAGGTTAGACAATGATTTCTTAGATACTGCACTAAAAGCACAAGTGTCAAGAGAAAAAAATAGGCAAGTTGTGCTTCTGCAAGGTTTAAAACTTTTGTGATTCAGAAGACACTATGAAGAAAATCAAAAGACAACCCACGAAATGGAAGCAAACACACCTGCAGATCACTTATCTGAAAAGGGACTTGTGTCTAGAGCATATAAAGAACTCACAACTCTCAGGAAAGATGAAACATCCAATTAAAAAGTATACAAAGGATCTAAACATACATTTCTCTAAAGAAGATATACAAATGGTTGATAAGCACATGAAAGGATGTTCAACATCACTAGCTACCAGGGAGTTGGAAGTCAAAACAAGAGTGAGATACCCCTGTACATCCACTGGGATGGCTAAATAAAAAAGACAGAAAACAAGGGTTGACAAGGATGTGGAGAAACTGGAATGCTCACACACTACCCTGGGAATGTAAAATAGTGCAGGCACTTTGGAAAATAATTTGGCAATCCTTCAAAAGGTTAAGCATGGAGTTACCACATGACCCAGGCAAGTCTACTCCTAGGAATACGCCCAAGAGAAATGAAAACATATGTCTACACAAAAACTTGTAAATAAATGTTGACAGCAGCACTATTTATAATAGCCAAAAAGTAGAAAAAACTCAAATGTGGTATATTCATATGATGCAATATTATTTGGCCATAAAAATCCATGAAGTACTGATCCATGTTACAACATGAATGAACCCTGAATATATTACGCAAAGTGAAAAAAGCCAGTAGCAAAAGACCACATATTACGTGATCCCATTTATGTGAGATGTCCAAAACAGGCAAATCCAGAGATAGAAAGTAGATTAGTTGTTGCCAGCGGTTCTGGGGAGAGGGAAAAGGTAGTGACTGCTAATGGGTATTAGGTTTCTTTTCAGGGTCATCAAATATCATGGAATTAGATTGTGGTGATGGTTGCACAACTCTGTGAACATATTAAACGCCCGCGAATGGTATACTTTAAATGAACAAAGTGTATGAGATGTGAATTAGACTTCAATAAAGTTGTTATCTTAAAAAAATCACTCAGAGGCCATGTAGAAAAAATGTAAGAGAACAACTTACAGAGGGAGAAAAAGGTTGGTTTGAGCTAATGTGCTCTAATAGCAATGAGCAGAGGTGTTACTGGTATTCAGGCACTCAGAATTCGCATTATACACTTTCACTTTCGACAGTACCATTTTTGGAACAAGGACTTTTTATAAGGCTGAAATGCTGAAAATATCAGTATCTGTGTTCACCACCTGTCTAGATGAGGCTGACAAACTGAACTACCCTCTCTGATCTGAGTGGGGCACACTAGAAGGGAACCGTATTATTTTCTGCATGTTAGAAAGAGGTTTAAAACAGAACAACACAATTCTCTAAACAGAAGAAAAGCAAACCACAGAGAATGCTGCTGAAATGACAACCAGTCACTTTGCATTTGCAAGGAAAGGACTGCATCTTTATAAGGGCACGAAGGACTGACTCTGGGGGTTCTCACAAAAACCTAGGGATTCCAGCCTGGGCTGCATCCCTAAGTAACTCGGCCTGACTGACTGAGAGTGAGGTACCAGTGGACGAATTATAGGACTGCAGGGCTACCTCAATGTTTGGAGGGGTATGATCTTTTGAGTCTGCAGAAGGCCAGACTCAAAAAAATCACACACACTGCAAACACTCCTATGTCTCCCTCAATTTCTTATTACCAATTTCTCCAGCATGAGGTCATCAGAATCTTTCTTTAGCCCACATCTAGCTATTGCATTTAAGTACACCTAGGTGACAAAGTCTATAAGTGTACTGCTTAGTTGAATGTTTAACAGGGCTAGACATGGTGCGGGTGGGGGGGGGAGAAGGATAAAAAAAAAGGTGTGACTGAGGCACAGTCCCTGCTAACAGAGAGCTCACAGTACAACCAGGGAGCTGGGCAGGCTTATGGGGAAAACAGAAGCCAGGGCTAGTGGGCATGTGACTAGGTGCCTGGGCAAACTAGAGGTCCAGATAATCAATGCTATGGCAGTGTGAAGAACAGGGCAAATTTGGGAAGGTTCCCATGTGCTTTTTTTTTTTTTTTTTTTGAGACGGAGTTTCGCTGTTGTTACCCAGGCTGGAGTGCAATGGCGCGATCTCGGCTCACCGCAACCTCCGCCTCCTGGGTTCAGGCAATTCTCCTGCCTCAGCCTCCTGAGTAGCTGGGATCACAGGCACGCACCACCATGCCCAGCTAATTTTTTGTATTTTTAGTAGAGACGGAGTTTCGCCATGTTGACCAGGATGGTCTCGATCTCTTGACCTTGTGATCCACCCGCCTCAGCCTGCCAAAGTGCTGGGATTACAGGCCTGAGCCACCGCGCCCGGCTCCCATGTGCTATTTACTCAAAAAATACATATTGTTCTTAGAATACAAAAATGTGTCCAACATGTGAGACAAGCACAAAGAATAAGAAGTAAAGAGCATGAGCTCTGGAGGTAAACAGCCCGGGTTTAGTTTCTAGCCTGGCCACTCCCTGCTGTGTGACTGAGAGCACAGTTTAACCTCTCTGGGCCTCAGCTTCCTCATCTATACAATGAATATAAGCCAGGTGTGGTGGCTCACCCCTATAATCCCAGAACTTTTTCAGAGGCTGAGGCAGAAGAATCACTTGAGGCCAGGAGTTTGAAATTAGCCTGTCCAATATAGTGAGACCCTGTCTCTACAAAAAATTTTAAAAATAAAAAAATTAGCCGGGCATGTGCCTGTAGTCCTAGCTACATGGAAAGCTAAGGTGAGAGGACTGCTTGAGCCCAGGAGTCTGAGGCTGCAGTGAGCTCTGATCATGCCACTGCACTACACGCTTGATGGCAAAGCAAGACCCTGTCTCACAAATAAATAAAATGGAGACAAGAGAATGTGGTGAGGGGGCAGTTAATGTGTTTAAAAGTTTTAGAACAATGTGTGGCCCATGAATTTTAGCTTGGTACACTACTGACAATTTCGTAGACTTTCACTATATTCCTGTACGACAAAGCCACAGATATCTTGGCACACCACCGATGATTTTCTACTTTCACTATACTCCTGTATGATGAAACCACGGATACCTTGTTTTAAAAGATCCTGATTGTGTTCAATTATATACAGACATTCAGAGGGGGAAAGTACTATTTGGGAAAAAGGCTTTAGAGTAGCCTGGCCTTAACAAGTGATTCAATGGAATCTAATATACACAGAGAAGAAAAACTACAAGGATGGCTGCTGGTTATATTCTTATAGGAGAATGGAAGTGTGGGAAGTGTGGTGGAATGATTGGATGTGAGCACACTGGTGAATCATTTGTAAATTACAACCACACCAGGGTAGGGGAGGGATGCTGGACAGGAAAGAAAGGTGAGGTGCTCCTAGAGCTTCTGTTCTTTCAAGGTTGCAGGGGCGGGGGTCGGGGGACAGGCAGAGCTGCTCCTGAGTTTGAGGGCTTGGGCATCAGTGTGCTGACCTTCACTGTGTCTGCCAGAGGACTGGGGGCAATGCTGCCGGAATGAGCTGCCCCACAGGGTGACTTGGGAAGGGACAGTTGCAGTGAATCTGCATCTTAGTCTTCTGGGAAAATCTGTTTATACCTACACATTAGAGCTCATTAAATACAACTCACATAACTTCTCTAAAAGTACAAAATAAAGGTACAATTGTCCATTAGATAATTAGTTCTACTTCTATAACTAATGATGGCATAACCGGTTACGTCGTGTTCTGTGTGAGGGTCTAGCCTCTAGAGGCACATGGTCTAATACAGTAGCCACTGGCTACATGTGGCTACCGAGCACTTAAAAATGTGGCTGGTCTGAATTCAGATGTGCTCTAAATACATACCAGTTTTGAAGACTTGGCATGAAGAGAAAAATGTAACATGTTATTTAATTTTAATTAAAATAATTAAAAAACATTGATTACATGTAAAACTAACATTTTGGGTATGTTAGTTTAAATAAAAATATATCATTAAACTGAATTTCCCTTATATTTTGACTTCTTTTTTTGAGACCAGATGTCATTCTGTCACCCAGGCTGGAGTATAGTAGCTCTATCACAGCTGGCTGCAGCTTTGACTTCCTTGGTTCCAATGACCCTCCCACCTCAGACTCCTGAGTAGCTGGAATCACAGGCACATGCCATCGTGCCCAGCTAATGTTTGTATTTTTTTGTAGAGATGAGTTTTGGCCATGTTGCTCACGCTGGTCCCGAACTCCCTAAGTGCTAGGATTACAGGCATGAGCCACTGCACCTGGCCTCTTTTTACTTTCTTTTTTTTTCTTTTCTTGAGATGGGGTCTCACTCTGTTGCCTAGGCTGGAGTGCAATGACACAATCTTGGCTCACTGCAACCTCCACCTCCTGGGTTCAAGCAGTTCTCCTGCCTCTGCCTCCTGAGTAACTAGGATTACAGGCATCTGCCACCACGCCTGGCTACTTTTTGTTATTTTTTTAGTAGAGATGGGGTTTCTTCATGTTGGTCTCGAACTCCTGACCTTAGGTGATCCACCTGCCTTGGCCTCCCAAAGTGCTTACAGGTATAAGCCACCGCGCCTGGCCCTCTTTTGACCTTTTAAATGTGGCTCTAACTCTATTTCCATCGGACACACTTGCTCTAGATCAGCCTTCTCCAACAGAACTGCCACTAGTTACATGTGACCGCTGAGCATTTGAAATGTGGCTAAAGCAACTGAGGAAGTGAACTCTTCATTTTATTTAACTTTAATAAATTTTCATTTAAACAGCCCCCTGTGGCTAGTGGTTATAAAGCTAGGCCATGTTTATACAAAGTGGTTATAAAAACTAGGCCATATTTATAAACTACGGCCTATTTTGTAAATAAAGTTTTATTGGAAGAGAGTCATGCTCATTTGTGTAAGTACAATCTATGGCTGCTTTCAAGATGCAATGGCAGAGTGGTTGTGTCAGAGGCTGTATGGCCCATAGAGCTGAAAATATTTCTCTGGCCCTTTCTAGAAAATTTGGCCAACCCATGTTCTAGACCAGGCGTCCCCAAACTACGGCCCACAGGCCGCATGCGGCCCCCTGAGGCCATTTATCCGCCCCCCTCCCGCCGAACTTCAGGAAGGGGCACCTCTTTCATTGGCGGTCAGTGAGAGGAGCACAGTATGTGGCGGCCCTCTAACGGTCTGAGGGACAGTGAACTGGCCCCCTGTGTAAAAAGTTTGGGGACGCCTGGTCTAGACCATCATTTTCCAAATAGGTTTCCCATGGAAAATGATTTCATGGGATATCAACAGCATCCAAAAAACAAGACAGGGGTTTTCCACGGTCAGATATGTTAAATATGCCCACGGGGTCCTGCTAACATAGCAGGCATTCTCAGAGCTCTCAACATGAAGATGTACTGTGGATCCACAGACAGGGCAGAGCAGGCAGCTTTCACCAAACTGGTTCCGCCAGGACACTCTTCCTTTCAGGATCAAAATTTTATTAACATCTCCCCAGCTTAGTGTTCCTCCCTACAGTTTAAACATGTTCTGCACCTATGAATAAGCATAGCTTTTTACACTTGGCAATTCTCAGAATTGCAGGTATAATTTCCATAATGAATTACTTAGCTTCTTAGGTACCTAACATCTTCAAACTAAGTGAAGGTAAACATCATCTCTTCTCTGGTGCTCCAAATTCTAACATTTTACATCTGTGTTCACATTATTTCCTTAATCCTCTCACCTTGCCCTTTGCTGGGCCTTCTCTGGCTCTCAGGTTTTTTGTTTTGTCAATTAACATCTCAAAAGGAAAAATGATTGCATCTTGGCCTCTTTTAGATAAAAGCAATTCATTTTGAATAGTTTCCAGAGATCACACTGCAGTAATAGTCAGGGGTACAGACTGAAGATTAAGTTTGGGCAGTCACAAACGTGTCACTTTCATTAAGAACAATGCTTCCAGTAAATTCTGACAAAGTAGGGAAGTCTACACCTAACACCAGTAACGAGAAAAAAAGAAAACCAAGAGGAGGAAGCATTCAAGAACGTACCATCAGCTACGGTTTCTTACTCACCGCAACGCTAGAGAAAAGGCTGCCGTTAAAGTGCCTTTGGATAGACAAGGACGGGGTCGTGCCAGGCCACGGGTTAACAATATCTGAAACGAATGTTTTAACTGGTCAGAGGATACCAACTTTATATTCATTTGTACATAAAAAAGCAAAATGAGTCCTTCGGAAACAAACAAACAAAAAAACCTGTATTGTAAGCCAGCCATGGTGGCTTGTGCCTACAGTCCCAGCTCAGGAGGCTGAGGCAGGAGGATTCCTTAAGGCCAGCCTGGTGACAGAGTGATCCTGTCTCTGAAAAAAATATCGTATGCAGTGTTTTTATAAAAGGAAGGGGAAGACAGTATTGGGTAGAGGTTAACTCTACCACTCTTTCTCTAAGTATTATGGTTAAAAATTCTTTAATAGTAAAGTTAAAAAAACAGCTAAGAAAAATAATACCAGACTTGAAATGTAAAGACACCATATTATTTTAGAAGCCATTCAGTTATGGTGTGAAGTAGAAGCTTCCTGTACTGAGATAACTGCCAGTCATGACACCTGCCATCAGACCACCTTACAAGGTTGTTGTGAGGAACATATGAAACCAAATCAGGAAGCAGCCCATCACAGCGCCAGGTAGAAGGAAGGGCGAAGTCAACATTACAAGAATTCCACAGTGCCTTTAAACAGCAATCAGGCTTTCGTAACAAGGTACGAAAGGGCTGTTTGAGGACACAGAGCTAGAAATATGATTGTAGACATCAACCAAGAAGGGATCTGAGGGAAAAAGCCCTGAGGTCTCCTTCCAGAGTTTAAATGTCAAAAGACTGGACTACCCTCACAGCCAAAAATGTAGAGCATTCAAGGGATCCCAGCACCACTGTCCTCCCTTTACCTGGCCGACCTCCAAGTGAGATAAGGCAGGGGAAGGGAAAAGATGACACCAGGCGTCCAGCTCTTCCTATGACAAGTGTTTCTGAGGAGGGCACCAGGTATGCGGAACCCAAATGTAAAAATCCAAGTGCAGGTGTTGGAGTGAAGAAGTCACATATTAGGGGGCAGGGGTCACAGACCTGCAGCACAGAATAAAATCCATGCTGGTTGAGATGTCCCATTACATTTGCACAAATGTGGTTCATCGCTGGTCGAAGACTCTCACCTAAACAAAGAAAAGAGTGAGAAAAAAAAAATGTCTTGCCATAATGTGACCTGTTTATGTGGGACAGGAATTATGTCCCACACCCAAGGCCCTAGGAAATAAAATGCTCCCTGGCTTGCCCTCCTCCTTCCTTCGGCCTGGTGCCAGGGCACAGGGAGGCAATGACTATCTGAAACGCTAATGCTCCTGGAGGGCCTGGCTCAAGAGTCATCTCTTGCGTGATGGGTGCTGTCACACCCCTAGCCAGAAGTGACATCTCTGACCTCTGAGCTCCTGAAGCACCTTTTCTAATTCCCTCCTACGGCCTAGTACTGTCTTCTCTGGGAGGATGCCTCCTCTCTTCAATGGGACATGAGCTTCCTGGAAGGGCCCAGAACTCAACGATTTTTAGATTTCCTCCAAGAGGTCAGGGTCATGCCTGAAACAAACTCTCCTTTCTGACCCGGAGCCTTTGCACATGCAGTTTTCCTGCTTTTCATTTCGTCCCTGCTTTTCCTTCTGTGAATCCCAGCTCTCTCTCCAGCTCTCCGCTCACACCCACTTCTTCAGGAAAGCCAGAGCCCCAGACCAAGCAAGGCCTCCCAACTCTACTGACACTCTCATTTCTCTTGCATACTTCCTTCCAAGCACTTACCACATTATTGTCATTTTACATCTATGAACGTCTATTTAATGACTGTTTTCCTCATCAGACTCTAAGTTTTGTGAGGAAGGGGGGACCTAAAGTCCCTGAAGGGCAGTACCACTTTCTGTTTTGCTTATCTTTGTCTCTCCAGCACCTAGCAGTGTCTGGCACATATAGGCTACTTGTTGAACGGATGAACGAAATGACCTTATGAAACACTTAGGGCTAAGGACACTTTTCAGGGAAGGAGGCAGCTTTATAATGCAAATTTTAAGGGCAAAATAGAATTATTCACAACCTAATGATTTTCCAAGCAAAATGACAAGGCTTAAGTGAAGGTTATCACTTGGAGGCTAAGGCACTGTGGGAATTATAAAAATTTACTGGAAGAACCACGCCTTCAAACATAAATTCAAAAAAGGGTAGAGTACAACACGAAATGGTGAATGCTTTCTGGATACTATGATGCAGTCTGACGGTAAGTGCCAAGGGCATCCTCATTTGCATGGTCTCAGGGCCTCCCCTGAGGCCTGTGGTGGCAAAAACGCTTCTTACAAAGGAAAAAGGGTCCCCAAGTTCTCTATGGAAATGTCAGTTAGAAAACATTTGAACCAAGTCTCACAGACCTTTTCCCCGAAGAATTTTCCACGTTGAAGTGTCTGTGAAGGTGACAAGCATTGTGAGGTACAGGGTGATGAGTCGGGAGTCTTGCAAGATTTCAGGCTAGAAACAATAAACCGAGCAAGATGAAGACACACATCTCTGATTTCAGACAGCAAAGTATTCATTTTACAACTGCTCTACAGGAGCTGAGCCTGGAATCACTGAGTCAGGGTGATAAGTCAGTCGTCATTCTTTTCCTCTCGGAGAATGACCACTTCAGGAGTTAAAGAACAAGGAATCACAGATTCCTGGGAATGGAGAATTGAGTATTCCTAGAAAACAAGATGACCAGGGCTGGCTTGCTGTGTGTACACGTGTCTGCCTGTCTATCTGAACACTGCAGCAACAGAGCAGAAATGCAATTGAGCATGACAGGGATCCTGGGCTCAGCCTTCTGACTTCACCACTTACTAGCTGTGTGAGCTTAGGCAAGTTTCTTAACCTCTTTTTGCCTCAGTTTCCTCATCTGTTGACCAGAAATAGTAACACTGCTTTCCTCATAGGGTTGTTGTGAGAAATGGATTAATGCGTACAATGCACTAAGAACAGTGCCTGACACACAGATAACTCCACGTAATGTTGGCTGCTGTTCTAATTTTTTTTTTTGGGGGGGGGGATGGAGTTTGCTCTTGTTACTCAGGCTGGAGTGCAATGGCGCGATCTCAGCTCACCGCAACCTCCGCCTCCTGGGTTCAAGCAATTCTCCTGCCTCAGCCTCCTGAGTTGCTGGGATTACAGGCACGTGCCACCATGCCCAGCTAATTTTTGCATTTTTAGTAGAGATGAGGTTTCACCGTGTTGACCAGGATGGTCTTGATCTCTTGACTTCGTGATCCACCCGCCTCGGCCTCCCAAAGTGCTGGGTTTACAGGCGTGAACCACCGCACCCGGCCTGCTGTTCTAATTTTGATGACAGTCCACTTTTTCACCAAGTCCAAGTCAGGCAAAAGGCCTGACTGCTCTCTAGGCCCAGAGACCCTATAGCAAGTACACCTGGAAGGGACCTTGGAGATCACCGAGTCCAAACCCCCAAGCTCATTAACAGTAAGAGAGGGGAAGCAGCTTGTCCAAGGCCACCTGGGAAATGAGCAGAGCAATCAGCACTGACTTTCGCATATTCCTGGCTCCAGAGTCAGTGGCCTTTCTCTCCTGATGGGTTTCCTCACATAAACTTTTTTTGTTCGCTCAAAGAGCAATCTGCTGTGGAATGTACACACGGAGAGCAGATAAACAAGGGTCTGCCTGGCTCGAACACAGGTAGGAAAATACCCTGCCCACTTGGCCCTGAGGCATTTTGGTGGATTCCCAGGGCTCTAAGGAACAGAATGTAGAAACTCTGCTCTGAGCCATGTCTTGCCTGACAAGCCGGGCGTGGCTTGTTGCTGACCACTGCCTTGGCTGGGTCGTGGATAAGAGCCACTCCTGAGCAATCAAAGAGGGATGGCTGGGAATGGACTGCCAGCGGGTGGCGTTGGGGGGGGGGCGTGGAAGCAGTCCAGGGACTTTCATCCCATTTTTCAGCTGCTACCTACATTCTTGCCAAGCCTCTGTCCCTGAAACCTCTCTCTCCCTATGTGCAAAGTAGAAGAGGCTCTTGTGTATGTCTGCTCACACACCCTGTCCATCCTTTTCAGAACACTGAAGAAGGTGGGGGAGCACAGGACCAGGCTGGGCTAGTGGCAGTACCCCATTCCTCTTGTCACTGTGACTGGTTCAGAGATGAACCCAGGATTTCACTGGACCTACAAGAAATGCAGATTTTTGAATTGGTGAGGAGGCCTCCCTTTTCTCTTTAGTCAAGACAGGGTAAGACTATAAAGTCAAAACTGCTGGTTGCCATGATTACAGCAGGAAAGGATGAGGTGACCCAAAAAGGGAGCAGGGATGAGAGAAAACAATGAGAGAGAATCCAGAAACACCTGGCTCTCCTCATCCCCTGCTGCCATGTTACTGAATATATTCTAGAGCACAATGTTCTCTTCCTTGCTTAACCTGTAGGTGACACTAGCTGTGCTTATGTTGGACTTCTGGACTTGAGCAAGAGGCCTGACTAGCATTAATAATGTAGATCAGGCGTCCCCAAACTACAGCCTGCGGGCCACATGCGGCCCCCTGAGGCCATTTATCCAGCCATCCGCCGCACTTCAAGAAGGGGCACCTCTTTCATTGGTGGTCAGTGAGAGGAGCACAGTTTGCGGCGGCCCTCCAATGGTCTGAGGGACAGTGAACTGGCCCCCTGTGTAAAAAGTTTGCGGACGCCTGATGTAGATCATAAAGTGATGATGATATTAAATGAACGGGAAGCCTGTAATCCCAGCTACTTAGAAGGCTGAGATGGAAGAATCAGTTGAGCCTTGGGAGGTCAAGACTACAGTGAGCTATGATAGTGCTACTACACTCCAGGGGTGACAGTGAGACCCTGTCTCAGGAAGGAACATGACAGATTCCCTGGCATGGAGGCTGTGGCAGGGCAAGCGGGTCAAGGGCCTGACACACACCAAAGAAGGGCTTGTATTGATAACAGCATCAAACTTCCTCTCTTCCAGAGCAGGGGCTCAATTAGCAATTCTGAATGACAGGGGCTCTGAAAATACAGACTAAAGTCTCCAAGTGAAAATCACACATTTATTGTTTCTGGTTTTTTGTTTTTGTTCTGTTTTTTTTACCTTGAGCTGCTTGAGAAACTCACAGCAATACCACAGAATGCTCTTGATCTGCTTAATCCAAAGGAGGGTGAGGTCCTTAGAACAAGCCAGAGACACATACCAAACCTACAAGTGAGAAAAAGATGAATGTCATGGGCTGTTATTGAGATCATATCACATATGCTCTAACTGTTGGAAATGGACCTATTAGTCAAGTCCAGTGCCAGAGAAAGCAGTAGACCTGAACAGATGAATAAGCAGCAAACAGGACTTATTTTAACACTAAACCCAAAGACAAAACACCCTAGTAAGAAAATTGTGGCAGGAGAACATAGCTACTTGGATCATGAAGAAACTAAGGAATCACGTTTTCCATCCACTGCTTATTTGCATTTGTGTGTAAACTGATCCTAACATTCAACAGGAACTTTCAGAGCCCAGTAGGCTGGCCCTTAAGAGCTTGTGGGAGGCACTGTGGCTCCCGTCCACTTACCTTAGGCTCATTCTCAGCATCCATGCTGCTCAGGATGCTGCGACACAACTTCTCAAATCTCTGCAAAGAGACACACTGTGGGTTATACATTCCCAAAACCAATCAAAAAGTGAAAATGAAGAAAAGAAGTCTTCGGTGGGCACCTGGCACGTGCAGGTATTATACCAGGTGATTCACATACATAATCACAGGCAGTCCCTTCCTACAGATGAGGACACTGAAGATCAGAGAGGCTAAAGGGTTCTCCAACTGATATTCCAAGGACTGGAGTAATCCTACAGAAATATTTTAGAAACTGGTATATTTCACATAAGTATTCAAAACGAGGCTTCTTTCAAAAAACAGTATCAATCTGGCAAATTGGACTTGGATTCCTGCAGGCCAGCTGCTGTCTCAGTTGTGCTCTCCAGTTTACCATTTCCTCAGTACCACGGATACTGACTTTTGCCTCACAGACAGCAGCCAAAGGCTGCTGTATCATCACGTTTATCCTCCAATGCAAAAGGAAACTAGAAAACAGGTTCCATTTTGGCTATACCAATCCTCAATCTACCCTTAAACAATGTGATACCGGGCAGGCTGCCCTACCACACTGAGCTGCAGTTACCTTTTCTATAACATGAAGGTCACCTCCTCCAGCTTACCTGTCCTCATCTATGTAATCATGTGTTCACTGCCTACATACTCCTCCCTCTCCTGCTGGCCTAAGAGCTTGCTGACGGTAGAGACCTTGCCTGTCTTGTTTCCTTCCAAGGCCCCAGTGCCTAGAGAGGGTTGGTACAATGTGAAGCCTAACAATAGCAAATGCCTAACAGCTGGAAATGGAGACATGCCTCAATGGCATTTTAGTACTATTATAGATAACTAGCTGCTTTCCTGGGATTATATTTTCCAGGCTGATCATTCTAATCCCTAAGGTGCCAACTGGCACGTTTTGTATGATTTGCAGGATATTTAAAAAATTTCAAATTAATTGCCAAGATTTATAAATTAGAACACTGATGGTGGCTTATGCCTACAATCCCAGCACTTTGGGAGGCTGAGGCAGGAGGATCACCTGAGATCAGGAGTTCTAAGACCATCCTGGCCAACATGGAGAAACTCCACCTCTCCTAAAAATACAAAAATTAGCCGTGCGTGGTGGCACATGCCTGTAATCCCAGCTACTTAGAAGGCTGAGATGGAAGGATCAGTTGAGCCTTGGGAGGTCAAGACTACAGTGAGCTATGATAGTGCTACTGCACTCCAGGGGTGACAGTGAGACCCTGTCTCAGAAAATAAATAAATAAATAAAGGACATTCAGCATGAAGACCCAGATCTTTGGCATCTCTTAAAAAAAAAAAAAAAACAAGAGTCTGAGTCCACCATTGAGGTGTATAGCTGCTCCCCGTGGATGGCACAGGTCACAGACCCTGCTATTTCCTTTGATGTCCTCACCACTGCTGCCTGTCAGTTACCGTTTAAATATGATTTGTATTTCATATTATGTTTTATCTCATACATGGGTTTTTTTTTTTACTTATTAACTAAACTTTCTGGCTTTTGTATGCATCCAAGTTCAACTTGTGCTTATAATGGTCAATGTGAAAAGATTCCCAAAAGCACTGGGCATAATCACTCCAAAACAGGTCACAAAAAAACTAAAGGAACAGGACGTGGGGGTGACAATAACTACCTCATAAAGCTGCTATAACAGACTAATATTAATCATTACAAAAGATCTGATATATGGAAGTATTGTGTATGTTTGCTACTGTTTTACCTCATTATCCTCTTTGATTCTGAATAAGAACAGTAGTTTCCTTGCAATCTTAAAAATACAAAGTGCACTTCTTTTAGTGGACCCAGGGTCATCTGCTTTAAAAAAGTCATCAATCTCTCTCCTAGAAAGGAAAGAGACATTTTAAATTAGCAGCTTGTAGCACCTGGAAGGCTTTTCAAGCACTCTAGGAGAAAACTCATTTATCTGCTATTAATTAGAAGCAAGAGAAGCATGTGCTAGGGAGATCCTGGCCTTCACCTGATCTCTCTCTGCAGTTGACTCCGATAGAGAAAACTCCGGACATGGGCCTGGATCACGACAGCTGCTCGCTCCCGCTCCTTCTGCACGAGCCTTTCTTCTCGTGCCTGACGGGCTCTATCGATGAACCACGCTCTCGAGGTCTGAGACAGGGTGAACATGTTTGCAAACTTGTACAAACCCTGCAAGGAAAATGGGCAAGTAGGTGTTGTAGATTGTTGTGTGAAAAACACACATAGAAAGGGGCCCAAGAGCAGAGAGTGGGCAGGGACCTGGGCAGCAGAGATTCTCAGGACCTGTCAACACCCTCCCAAGTGCTAACAACTCTCAGCACAAGTCCCAACCTCCTACAGGCTCTTTCATGCAACTCACCAAAACCAGGGATGCTATATCCTATATTAAATAATCACTTCTTCTTAAGGGAAAGAGCACAGCACCTGGCACAGGATAAGGGCAGGCCCAGCTTTAGGAACGAACAAAGAAGGAATCAATCCCACCCATAAAACTCTAATTCAAGCCAGGTTTCCTGTAGGTCAAAGATTCCCAGACATTTGAATTTTCTGGAGAAGTCCCCGGTATTTGGGAAACCAACACTGAGAGGTCAGCTTTTATTTTTCCAAGTAAGGACTCGAGGGAAAACTCAAATGTGATTATTTACTGTCATCATTATTGTATTCATCCACTCACTAAACAAATATTTACTGGTGCCTACTTTGTGACAGCACACGAAAAAGAGAGGGCCATTTTAACATTAACAAAGCAAAAGGTACACACTTCAGAATGCAAGACAGTACACTACATTGAATTTATTTGGTTTTATGTATAATTTATTCCATTGTCCTTACAGTTACCATCCTGACAAGGACCAATAAAGACCTGACTGCAGAAATGCTCCTGTCCACTGACAGGCACTTTTCTAAACAGAAGCGCTAACTTATACACTAAGTTTTTATCTAAATCACCAGTAACTGTTTTTCCCTAAAGGGACAGCTTTTGCTAGCAGCCTAAAGCACACAGCACCAACCCACGGAGGCTCCCATACTGAGATGATTTCCTTAGATGCTTGATGACTTTGCTATTCTATACAAATGTACAATCAGCCCAGTCATAAACACTGAAATGAATTATTCAGAAATCCAGACTTCCAGAAAACAATCTCTACTCCAGGCTACTTCATTCAAAGTAGCACCCACGGGAATACATCATCCAGAGTAAAAAGCTGGATGGATAGAACTAGAGGCCATTTATCCTAAGTGAAATAACTGAAAGAGAAAGCCAAATACTGCATAATCGCCCTTCCAAGTGGGAGCTAAACAATGGGTCCTCATGGACACACAGAGTGCAATAATGGATAAGGAGGCTCCAAAAGGTGGGAGACAGGATGGGGGTAACAGCTGAAAAATTACCTATTGGTGCAATGTTCACCACTCAGGTGATGGATGCACTAAAAGCGCAGACTCCACCACTAAACATAATATGCATACAAGAAACCTGTACTCCCTAAATCTAAAAAATATGTTTAAAAATTATTAACATAAACATTGAATACAACAGAATCATCTCCTAGAGGTGTTAAATGAATGGCATGTTACTGAAAAGCATTTAGTAAGTGTGCTCTATTACTAGTATTAATAAGGACAATACAATAATACACTTTTATAACCAAAGAAAAAGTTGGTGCTAGCCTCCTGCCACGTGAACATATCAAGGGACCTCTGGGACCCCTTCTCAACAGTGATTCACATCTGTCAAACATCATCAGGAATCCCTGAAACAAACTAGCAGAGCCCACCTGACCACAGGAGGTAAGGTATTAGGTTGGTGCAAAAGTAATTGTGGTTTTCGACTTTTTAAAAAAACACTAAGAAGCAATTACTTTTGCACCAATCTATAAAAGGCTTGGAGAGAAAAGGTAGCCATCTCCTGAATTATTTACTCTTCCTGCCCCAATAGTAAAGTCTGGAGATCTCACCTGAGGACGTTCCTGTGTTGCAGAAATGCCAGGTAATCATTAGTGATCTTGCACAGGACTCGTGGCTGAGAACAGCTTCTCACTTTAGAGAAGCTTGTCTTTTTTCCGGCAGAAGCAGAAGAAAAAAAATCCAGACTTAGGGTTAAATTTTATAGGTGTGGCATCATATATTTTCCTGAGTACAAGTAATAACCACATTGCCAATGGTTTTTTAAAAACACCACACAGTCCTCTTTATTTAACGTCTCATCTAAATGTTATACTGTATCTCTTCAATCCTCACAGTTTAAAGGGAATATGCTGAAAATAATCCCAAAGTTGTTGTTGAATTAAAGTTGTGATGGGAAGCAAAAATAACTTAGAGGCATGGAATGTTAAAGAGCTATTGAAAATCATATTTGACATTTTCTTTTTTCTTTGAGACAGAGTCTCATTCTGCTGCTGATGCTGGAGTGCAGTGGTGTGATTTCAGCTCACTACAACCTTCGTTCCCAGGTTCAAAAGTGATTCTCCTGCTTCACCCTCCTAAGTAGTTGGGATTACAGGTGCGTGCCACCACGCCCAGCTAATTTTTATATTTTTAGAATACACAGGGTTTTCACCATGTTGCTCAGGTTGGTCTTGAACTCCTGACCTTAGGTGATCTGCCTTCCTCAGTCTATAATCCCTCAGCTGGGATTATAGTGTGAGCCATTGCGCCTGGCCATGTTTGACATTTTTAATGATACAGAAAAATGTCTATGCCTTAGAAGTGAATAAAGGGCTGCCTGTGAACCAATAAAAGCCCAGTTATCAGAAAAATGCACATGTGCACAGAAACAAAACTGGTATGAACTATACCAACATGTTACCGGTGGCTGTTCTGAGGTACTGAAATTGTGGGAAATTTTCCTTAATTGGTCTGTATTTTCTAAATCTTCCAAGGAATGCACATGGTGAAGCAGCACTGCACAGTGAGGGGGAACAGGGGCTTTGAGAGTCACAAGGAGTTGAAGCCAGTCCCTAGCTCTGCCATGTACTGTAGGGAGAATGCCTAAGCCTTTTTTTTTTTTTTTTTTTTTTAAGGCAGGGTCTTGCTGTCATCCAAGCTGGAGTGCAGTGGTACAATCACAGTTTACCGCAGCTTCTATCTCCCAGGCTCAAGTGATTCTCCCACCTCAGCTTCTCAAGTAGCTGGGACCACAGGTGCACATCACCACATTTGGACAGTTCTTAAATTTTTTAGAGCAGTAGGGTCTTGCTATGTTGCCCAGGACTCCTGGGCTCAAAAAATCCTCCTGCTTTGGCCTCTCCAAATGTTGGGATTATAGGTACAATCCATGGTGCTTGGCCCTGAGTCTTTCCATCTGCATCTATTACTTGGCTTAGAGGTTGATAACGAGGACTAAATGTGATGATGTGTATCAAGTACCTATCGAGGTATTTGAGTGCACAGTGTAGGGTGTATAGTCAATAAGTCTAACTGGTCTATAAACATTTTTATAAACATGGTTTTTTTCTTTTAAACCCTTCAGCAGAGGGTCCCACCTGCACAATCACTAAAGTTCTCTGGGTAGGAAATAATGCAGCCTGACATTTCTCACCCATTCACTTTTTTTTCTATGTTAAATGCACTAAGATTCACCAGTCCTGTCCCTTGGGCTATGAACTCCTGGCCCTGTTGTTTAGACTGAGTAACAGATTCAAGCTTCTCAGAGCTGCAAAAGAGCAGGGCCCAAGTCATGAGTACAATGATATGTTCCCTCCACACCATGCAGACAGACAGTGCCTAGATGGCAGAGGGTACATGGAATTAGAAGGGGAAGGGAGAGCCTGTTCCTAAAAGAAAAACAAAGTTGCATGCAAACTGTGCCTAAGTACCTGTAGGACTATCTTAAAACTTTCACTGCTCCCAGGGGGCCTCCCAGGATAAGAAACTATTCTTATCCCCTTCCTTGAGATTATCATGTCTTCAGCAATGTTATTGGTTGATTTGTTTATACTGTATAATAGCCTACACTTTATAGTTTTTCTTATCCTTTCCTATATACCTTCTCTACCTCCACAGTGGATACTATAGTTCATCAATCAAATAAAACACACAATCAAGTGTTTATTAAGTACTTATTTTGCTAAATCCCATGGAGAATCAAAGGCTGTGCACAGCAGAAAAAGTCTTGCATCAGAGAAAGTGGGCCTTGTTTCTTTTTAGTACTTATTCTATCTGACATTTGGCCAAGTTACTTATCCTCTCTAGGCCTCAATTTCCTTATGTGTAAATCGAGGGTAATAATAGTGTCTATGTCCTAGGGTTGCTAAAAGGATTAAATGTAACATTTACTCCTCTTGTACCTCAGTTTAGTCATCACAACATTGTGATTAGGATTAAATGAGAAAATAATAATAATGGACATCCAAAAGCATATAACATGTAAGTGAACTTTACTGTATTGTCCTTAAGAAGCTTGCAATCTAGGAAAACAAGACTCATATAGGTAGAAAAATTAGAAAATAAGAGGTTGGTGGTAACCAACATCATTTTAAAAAGTAAATGAGTACCCATTATGTGTCAAGTCCTTTGTAAGTGATTTCATCTAATAACGACAGGAGTCCTATGAGAGGATCATTCACGATCTCCTCCAGTCCAGTTTAGACCATTAGTATGTGGCAGAGTCAAGACTGTAATAACTAAGAGACAGGATTCAGACTCTTGTCTTCACTCTATACTCCCAAAGCTGAAGCACCATAAATACCAACTGCTACTGAGCCAAGAGGATTTTCCCCGTACTGTAGGAGAAGCTGGGCCACCAGGTTAATGACCACCACCATTTATTCAGGGCAGACCGTGTATCAGACACTGTACAGACATTTAACCAACTTGTCTCTTCAACAGCTCTATTAGGTCTCGATAATCTTTTTTTCTTTCTTTCTTTCTTTTTTTTTTTGACTCGGGGTCTCACTTTGTTGCCCAGGCTGGAGTGCAGTGGTGCCATCTCAGCTCACTGCTACCTCCACCTCCCGGTTTCAAGTGATTGGCCTGCTTCAGCCTCTCAAGTAGCTGGGATTAAAGGCACCCACCACCATGCCTGTCTAATTTTTGTATTTTTAGTAGAGATGGGGTTTCACCATGTTGGCCACGCTGGTCTTGAACTTCTGACCTCAGGCCTCGGCCTCCCAAAATGCTAGAATTACGAGGCGTGAGCCACTGCGTCCAGCTTCAAGAATCTAATTTTTATTTAAAGAATAGGAAACAGGACTTAAAGAGACTATTCATACTAACAGCTATTATTTATTGAACGCTACCGCCTATCTAGGTGGATGTTTTTGAGTCTGAATTCATGTATATACAAAACAATTATTTATTAATAAGTAAAACAAGATCCAGGGCTCCCCCATTCACAGAACAGCAAAACAAAAAGAAGCTGAGAATGAGAATGCAACGTTGCCTGTGGGGACTAATCTGGAGTCAAATTACGGCCAAGTTTTTCTTTATTCAGAGCTAGGTGTCAGGCACGGTACTGAAACGTATTTCACATCCTTTGTGAAACCTGATAATTACTCCATTTTACTCAGAAGGAAACTGAGGCTCAGAGGGAACTCACCCAAGTCACACAGAGAGCGAATAGTATTCGAACTCCAGTTTAGATGACTCCTGGGGCCGGCGTCTCTCCTCGGCATCAACAACCACAGGAACAAATCAGCCAGCATTAGTCCGTTTATAAAGGCCTATCGTCCCAAAAGTGAAAAGAGGTGGAAAGGGCCGCGGAGAGAGCCCCTGGAGCACACAAGCCAGATTCCAACACTTGCCCCTCCGACCCGGCCAGGCAGGGGCTCGGCCCTAGAGCCACCTCCCTCAAAGTCCCCTGCCCCACCACCCGGAGAACTAACGACCTGTTCTCACTCGCTACCCGCAGGCCGACCTTTATTCGCTGGAGGTCCCCGCACTCGGGGCCGGGGCGGCAGCTGCCACTGTCTCAGCCCAAAACACTCGAGTTCTGCCAGACCCGGGGCAGCAACCGAGGCACAACCGCCATCTTGCCCCAGGGTGTTCGCTCTCAGAACTCCGCCAGGAAGCAATCATCCAGTTCAGGAAAATGACAGTTCCGCTGAGCTGCTTTGCCCGGGAAGGAATACTTCCCCACACCTTGTCATACCCTCTGGCAGCTGAAATAGCTGAGGTGGGATAAATGCCCGACCCAGCCGAGAGAAGCGGGAACCCATCCCGGCCTCGGAGGTTGGAAAGAAAGCTGCCCCATAGGCGTACAACGGATGGTTTAAAATGGGGCGCTCTGCGGGGCGGAAGTGGGGTGCGGACAGCGGAAGTTACTGCTCCGGCCCCGCCTCCGCCTCCGCCTCCGCCTCCGCCTCCGGTTGGCGTGAGCTGGGTGTTTCCTGCCTCTCTCAGTCTGGGTTTGGAGACTCCAGCGTCCTCCGACTTTTCATGGTAGGGAGGGCGGTACCCACCAACTGGGGGCTGCGGGCGGCCGAGGGAACTGAGCAGCGGCAGAGTATAAGGAGAAGGGACCTAGGGAAGGGGGTGCGGTGAGGGGCAGTAGCATTAGTGGAGAGGCATTTGGGGGATTGGATGGGGGAGAGGCTGGATGTGGGGGGAAGGGCTTTGGGCGGAGAATTAGGGGTGGGGGTATCCCTGGCAGTTAGGAATCTGGGAAGCGTATTTCGGCTTGGGGAGTAGAATACTGCATGTGTGTGCGTGAGGAAGGGGTGTCTCCAAGTGAGTCCTGAGTGCTGGTGGTAGATGGGGCTTGGTAACCGCGAGAACAAAGAGATATCATTGAAAATGAACATTTGGGTGGAAAACGAGGATTTGGAGGATTACGAAGGGGAATGGGCAGGTTATGAGGTGAGGTAGAATTTATTGGGGCGGAGCGGTTGGGGGTTTTGGAGGTTGTGGGTGGAGTAGCCGAATTTCCAGGAAATGGGGAAGGGGCTTCCAGCTGCGTCTGAATACACGTGCCAGTGGGGGAAGAAATCGAGGGAGCCCAGCAGGCGGTTGTGCGTTCAGTGCTTGGAATTCTGGGGAGAGATGCCAGGGGCCTGAGGTCAGGATACCTGCGCCATGGAGTCCAGCGCCTCAGCTGGCGCCTGGGTGCTTATCTGTAACTTCCATTGAGGCCAGAAGTGACCACGCAGAAGCAGCGGAGGATGTCTCAAGATCTGTCTCTCCGCTGTGAGGTTTGTCTGCTTGGGATCCTCAAGGGTTTGTTCCCTGAATAGTTCATTGTCCCTGGATATAGATGACTAAAGATTGGCCCAGATCTTCTTTCTGCTTGTTTGTTTGTCACGTCCCTGGAAAGTGCAGTCTTTAGGGAAAATCAGTCCCGATGATGCTGCTGAAGGAAAATCAGTTATCCTGTATCTGACTGACTAGTCTGCTCCATTTTGTGCAAAATAAGGACCAGCTGAGGGGAAGAAGGCAGCATAAACCAGTGGTTCTCAAACTGTGGTCCCACCAGCAGCAACACCTGGAAATTTGTTCAAAATGGCTGAATTTTCAAGCCCTATCACAGACTACTGAATCAGACATTCTTGGGGTGGAGCCCATCTATCTGTTTTAACAAGCCCTGCAAGGGATTAGAGTAATGATATCTTATTCTGTGTCATGAAAGGGGCATAAGAGTTGGGAGTCAGAGGGCTCTTATAGGTGTGATTCCTAGTTTTCTCCCCCTAAATAGTGGGGTTGATGATAAAACATCTTTCTTACTGGACCATTGAGAGAAATAGGCCAAGAGTTTGTATACTAAACACAGGACGAGAATGTCATTCGGTGGAACAGTTGCAGTTGGTGGTAGCTGTCTTATAAATAATGCTGCAATTATGTGACTGATGCGACTAAGTTTAATTGAAACGGAACAGCAGACTTTTCTGAGTTAGAGAAATGCCCTGAGTTTGGGAAGGTTTTATAACTGGCCTCAATACAATGTTTCTTAAACTTCTTTGCTGTAGGAATCCCCTGAGGTGATGCTTTGCCTCACATCTCTGACACTTCTTAGACAAAGCTGGTTAAACACCTTAGCTTAGGTGGCAGTGAGCCTTTGTCCCACGTCGGAATCCCCCGAAGAGTTTTTTAAGCACTAGTGACTCATCAGCCACGCCTCTGCGTCTCTGATTAATTGATACTGATTAATTGATCTGAAGTGTAGCCTAGACAAGCGTGCCTGTGTGCGTGTGTGTGTCGCTTCTGAGTCTCTGATTAATTGATACTGATTAATTGATCTGAAGTGTAGCCTAGACAGGCGTGCGTGTGTGTGTGTGTGTGTGTGTGTGTGTGAGAGAGAGAGAGAGAGAGAGAGAGAGAGAGAGAGAGAGAGACAGGATCTTCCTCTGTTACCCAGGCTGGAGAGTGCACTGGTGTGATCTTGGCTCACTAAAGCCTCAGCCAATCTTTTGGGACTATGGCTGTGTGCCACCACGCCCGGTTAAATTTTTTTTTGAGATGAGGTCTTAAGTTGCTGAGGCTGGTCTCAAAAGTTCTGGGCTCAAGCAATCCTCCTGCCTCAGTGCTGGGATTATGGGTGTGAGCCACTGTGCCTGGCCTAGTATTAGGGTTTTTAGGCACACTCAGGTGATTCTAATAGCCAGGGTTGGGAAACAGTGGCCCTAAAGTTTGAGAGATCCAAAGGAAACAACATAAGGACTAGATGCCAAATACTTTAACATTCATTCTGTGAGGGTTTTGAAGATTATGGCTTTAACACTATTTTACAAGTTAGAAAACTGAGACTTGGGTTAAATTGCTTAAATTTCAGGAAGGAAGTGGTGGAACTGATTGCAATCCAGGTTTGCCAGGACTATTCAGTTTTCCTTAACACACGCACACAAGACTTCTAGAAAGAAGCATATAGAAAACGGAGGGGTGGAGTCGGGCCAGGTGCGGTGGCTCACACCTATAATCCCAACACTTTCGGAGGCTGGATCATGAGGTCAGGAGTTCAAGACCAGACTGGCCAAGATGGTGAAACCCCATCTTTACTAAAAATACAAAAAATTAGCCAGGCGTGGTGGCATGCGCCTGTAATCCCAGTTACTTGGGAGGCTGAAGCGGAGAACTGCTTAAACTCGGAACGTAGAGGTTGCAGTGAGCCAAGATCATGCCAGGGCACTCCAGCCTGGAAGACAGAGCGAGACTTCATCTCAAGGAAAAAATAAAAGAAAATGTGGAGTCAGGAATTTGGTGCCTTTTTTCATACTGTTACTTGCCTGGGCCTCCTTCCCAGTCAATTATTTTCCCCTTCAGCTGCTTTTCATGTTTTCATGCATGCATACAGTTGCTTCCTGCTGTGGCTCTGAAGCTGTGAAGTGGGGGCTTGCTTTTGTTTATGGCGTTTGGGTTTGTTTTTATGTGTCAGGTTGGCAATTCACTGGGCCCAGACCAGGGAGTTAATGGTACCTTAAATAAGGGGTACAGTACTTTTTAGGACAGTGAGCTGGAATCTTAATGGGTTTTAACATCTCCTGGGGAAGTTTTTAAACGTTCTGCTGCCTAGGCCACATCCCAGACCAATTACATTGGAATTTTCATGGTAGGACCTAGGTGTCAGGAATTTTTAGCTCCCAGATGATTTCAATAGTCACCAATTGGAGAGCCACTGTTTAGAATCAGCAACATTATATTCAGGGGAGATGGAAAGGAGAGAAGAGAGATTGACCCATCTAACTGGAATAAACTTCTGATTGAATCAGATCCATAGCCAGTATCACAAGTATTCATCGCCTCTTTGTTTCACATAACCAATTTTGCTGTCTCCTGCCTCATCTCCCCAACATCATTAGTAATGAAATTAAACCTCTGAAATAAATCAAAAAGCAGCATCCTGGCTGGGTGTGGTGGCTCACACCTGTAATCGCAACACTTTAGGAAGCCGAGGAGGGTGAATCACCTGAGGTTGGGAGTTCAAGACCAGCCTGACCAACACAGAGAAACCCCCGTCTCTACTAAAAATTCAGAATTATCCAGGTGTGGTGGCACATGCCCGTAATCCCATGCCCTAAGGCAGGAGAATTGCTTGAACCTGGGAGACAGAGGTTGCAATGAGCTGAGATCACACCATTGCACTTTAGCCTGGGCAAGAAGAGCGAAACTCCATCTCAAAAAAGAAAAAGAAAAAAAAAAAAAAAAAAGGCAGGATCCCAGTCGCAACAGCAGGGAGTGTCCTCCCTAGAAAGGTTTGCTATAAGGGTGTATGCTTCACTGCTTCCGTTCACTGTAACTTGGGCTAAAGGACATGATCACTGCCAAAACTTTTCCCTCAGGGCCTCTCCTACTATCATGTTGACTGACCTTTGGAGGGAGTGGGTTTCAAAAAGATTCAGTGCTTTTGTTGCCTAATCTGAAGTCTCATTCTAGATCTGGATGGCTCCTGCCTTTATCTGTTAGTCTGTCATTAGAGCTGGAAACAATCTCCAAAGAGTGGAAGACTTCAGGAGCATTCCCAAATCATCATAACTTGAGTGTTCCCTGTCCAAGTGTTTTCTCGGAGCCAGGGAGCCCTGTGAGGGACGTGCGAGAGTTGGCCCTGGACACAGCTACTCAGTGGCAGGGCTGGGGCCTTTAAGCGCAGGTCTGACTCCAAACCCTTAGCCACACTTTACCTCACAACTTTTTTCAGGGCTTTTTGGACTCTTTAAAGAAGGGAGATGAGGCCGGTCTTTCTCAACTTACATGTCATAGCTCTAAATCTACTTGGCATGATGGGCTCTGGGCCAGCCACAACTTGCCTATGTCCTTCTCTGGCCCCGTCACTGACTCAACTCCTGGCTTGGAGAGTGACTGACCCTGTTGGGACTCTGGCATCCAAATGCACAAAGCGGAAATAACGGTAGCTGTCTTCCAGCATTGTTTGGATTTTTAAGGCATATGGTGATAGAAATTAAGTGGTGAAGGGACATTGAGGGGCTTTCTAGAGCCATGGAAATGTTCCAAGACAGCTTGATTGGAGTGGGGGGCTACACAAGTGCAAGTATTGACCAAAATACATCAAACTCTACATCTAAAATACACTTTATTATGTGCAAAGTATCTTTAAAAAGGTATTGGAAAGCCCAAACTAAGTACAGTCATGCACCACATAATCACAGATTGGTGACAGACTGTATATGTAACAGTGCCGTAAGAGGATAATGGAACTGAAAACTTCCTATAGCCCAGTGGTATGGTAGCTGTGACTTCACTTGTAGCACAGCAGGCAGTGTGTTCATGGTAATGCTGGTGTAAACAGAACTGCTTCACTGCCAGTCGCTGCCTATTAGTGT